TTTCAAGTGAAGTCAGTGCTGTCAGTAATCTTGTTCTGCATGTTTAGTCACAGTAAAAGCATCAGAATAAAATTGTGACCATTTCATATAAAAGTAATCCATCATTATTCAACAGCATAAGAATCTATTCAAGCTACTTAAGTTCAGATGACAAAAATAATTCTTAGTATCTTTCAATGTCTAGGTCAATAACATCCAGGTACCTCTCATACATAATATCATATGTCTGGTGTTACTAGAGTTACTACACAATCCTCAGCCATGCAAATCCGAAGTTTGAGGGTTTGGGGAAAATTCATTATTTCATGAATAAATTTAAGACAAATGTACAGCAGATGTAAATGATACTGGATAATGTGAAATAATTGCGATAACTTTATTCTTCTATAAAATATGTTCAACCAAGTCCAGATCAGATCAGATCATCACAGTCGCCAAACAGTGGCCTGGTTAGGCACACCTGCCATAGGCCTGTGAAAAACTACTGCCTCCATGACAGATGTAGCGTTGTGACTTGCATACTCTATATTAATCTATAGCAATTACTCCAGTGAGTAAGTGATCGAGGTTCTACGCCACTTTTAGCAATATCCTTCAATGTCACGGTGGAGGACACCAGAAATGGGCTTCACTCATTGTACCAATGTGGGGAATCGAACCCGAGTCTTCAGTGTGACAAGCGGACACTTTAACCATTTGGCTACCCCACTGCCCCTCAGCTGCTCCAGTCTTAGCACCGACTGTCATAAGTCTATCTTATAATTGTCTCTGGGAATTTCTCCAGTCTAAACCAAAACCGACTGTCGTAAGTCTATCTTATAATTGTCTCTGGAAATTTCTCCAGTCTAAACCAAAACCGACTGTCGTAAGTCTATCTTATAATTGTCTCTGGGAATTTCTCCAGTCAAAACCAAAACGGACAGTCGTAAGTCTATCTCATAACTGTCTCTGGGAATTTCTCCAGTCTAAACCAAAACTGATCTATGAGAATTTTGCAAGTCATAGCGACATGACTGTAGTAAGTCTCCACTATGCAAGTCATAAAGCCATAATCATTAAATGAAGTCCAAGGGTTGGTTATTACTGATACCAATCTTTTGTTTACAGTTCACTACTGACACCAAACAGAAGATTTCCAAGATGGAAAGGAAAAAGCAAGTTGTGAAATCTGAACTTACCATGTAATATGACGTAAAACTATACTTTCAATCACGATCTGAGTACAGAGGACAATGTGTGTTCAAAATGTGATTCATATACGAGTTGACAGTTAAGAACTTGTACGAACAATTACTTATGGATCAGTTGACAGTGGACAATAGTGAATAAAGTTCATGAACCATAACTCATGCATCAGCCTATAGTGGACAATAGAATGATTCATGCAAACAATGATTCACATATCACCAGACAATATATCATGATCAATATGATTCACATATCAGCTGTAAGTGGACAATCATTCATGAACAATATGATTCACAAATCACCAGTTTCAAAGGATGTTTCACATTTTCTACAATTACACTACTGAAAGAAGGCATCAAATAAAATATTGACAATGACAGATTTGGAAATATCCTGTCTCTATCTGAGGACTGATCACATGTACAAACTGGAAATAATATCTCTAAGCCTGACAACAGCTATATTGTGAATGTGTATGGATATTTTGTAAATTTTTCAAGTATAATACACTACACGTCCAATATCACCAAATAAAGATTTTCCTTATGAAGCATGATGATGATAGATTTGCGATGAATAGAAATTTGTTTCATTGTCACATAAACAGGAAAAACTAATTTCACCAACATAACAAAAGAAAACTCTCATTCAGGTACAACAGGGTTCGGTTCTTTCACACGTCTTGCAAGAGTTATCTCCCTTTAATCAGCCAACCCAGTAGAAGCTTTTGGCCTGCATTAATGCGGCTGATATTTTAAAGCAAAATAGTATTGCAAAAAACATAGTATTTCACATATCATAGTTCACATACATAATGAGAAACACTTATGCCACTGTATGTACTAAACGTGAAATGCTAACAACTTTCTTTTGCTAAAAAGAATGCTGAAAGAAGGGTCAAATCTTATTGACCTGATTGGAGTCAGAGGTCAAACAAACCACAGTCAGGTATTCATCTAGATCTGCTCCAAGGTAAATGTTTGACCTCAAGTCTCAACCAAATGTATGCAAAAGTTATCAAAGTGGAAGTAATAAATGTCCCATCCATATTTTTATTGTGACATTAAAAGTGACATCTCTGTAGAGGTGACTTGTTCATCACTGACAACTGGACCAAAAATCTGGATGAGGATGAATGTCTGTATTTAATACCAAGCTATATTCATGATAATACCATCAATCCAATTTTGAAAAAAATATATTTTCACTTGGTCAGAATATAGATAAATCCATGTTGATCAAAACTAGCAGGATGTTACTTCCTAAAACTGATTAACTGCTTCTGTGATTACATCACATGTACGTCAAATGCATTTCAAACAGTTTCACCACATACTGCAGTATAAACCATGCAATGTAATAATAATAATAATTCTGTAGCAGAATCTCTACCTGTATATACCAATTTGTCCCTTGGATATGAAATGTTTTTTGTTACAAAATTCTTTGGCCCCTGACATTAATGAGCCCTACAACGCATTCACCAACTCAAGTCTATATTAAAACAAATGCAGAACACAAAGAAGGAGTGTACTGTGTTTTGTTAACTAAATTTAACATAAGAAAGTGAGGTACCACGAAGAATTAGCATTGATTATCTCGTGTATCACATCTCCATCCTAATGTCATAAATACACTGGACCCGCGTGTCATATTTCAATAACTAGAAACATAATGGGGACAAACTAGCATTCAAACCCGTCAGGTATCCGGTGTGCCCAAGGAACACAACAGCACAGGGAACTGCAGTACCTGAGAGTGAGTGAGTGAGTCAAGTTTTATGCCGCTTGTAGCTATATTCCAGCAATATCACAGCGGGGGACACCAGACATGGGCTTCACATATTGTCCCTGTGTGGGTAATCGAACCCAGGTCTTCGGCACGAGGAGTGAAAGCTTTAACCATTTGGCTACTCCAATGCCAGCAACCTAACTTCACTCGATGACCTGTCCCCCGACAATGTCAGAGAGATGAAGGTGGTAACGCTTCAGAATCAAAACTAGGGGATGAATGGGTCCACCTGACTTATTTCAGTTGCTTGGGGTTGACACAATGAAACTGAAGCAGGGTTGAGTGGTGATATGATTGATGCTAGCATACATATCTATCAGGAATGCATTAGTCGACACCGTGTGCTCTCAACCCCTATGACAGTCTTGTGTTTCAGTTTCTGGGCCAGTCAACAGCTGCAACACTGAAGGAACACTTCAATATCTTCTAAATAAAAATCTCCCAACCAATTATTAAACCATTTGCAGAACTGCTTGAGAGGCATTTTAGAAGTTGTGAAGATGAAGAAACCAAGTTCTATGGATAGTCAACTTTTGTATTGCAATGAATGTGATGCTTCGGTGTAGGTACTAGCACCGTTATCAAGCAAGTGATGATAACGGTGTTAGTACCTACACCAAAACGTCGCACTCATTGCAATAAAGAAGTTGACTATCCATAGAACTTGGTTTTCCTTCATTTGCAGAACTTTTTGCCCAAATATGAAATGTATGGCATGATTACCCTAAAATCAAGTCAAATCAAGAAACTGTCGCATTTCTTAAGTGTTTCAGTGATTCATTATCCCCTCAGTTGTAGAAAATGGACAAAATGGATGAAAAATCACACTTTCTGGAATGTCAAGCCAAGTTGGGATAGACATGTGCTAGTCGATCGGCAACCGTACAACAATTATTGCAGCAGAATGAAGTAATGTGTTTGATGAATTTATGAAATAACCTGCAACATGTAACCAAACTTTCATCACCACCAACCATGCTCACAATGACTTTAGTACAGTAGATGAAAAAACATACCTGAAGATTTGGATCCCCGAAACCTTCTATATAACATGGTCAAACTGATTTGGTGAATCATGAATAAAACCATAACCCTATATGTAATACAGACTATGCATCATTTTATGCTTTAATTCACTACTGAATAAGCCTGTCTGTCTTTCAAAGGATGAGTGAGTGAGTGAGTTCAGTTTTAAGCCGCTTGCTGTTAGCAATATTCAAGCCCAGAAATGGGCTTCACACTTTTCAAAGGGTACCAAAAATGTCGCATCAATCGGGCATTATTTTTACTATGGCAATTGGTACAGTACTGTAAAATGAAATGTTGAATCTGTTAACATGACACTATTCGACTATTAACAAGCTCATTTTAAATATTCATCTGAGTTGAACACAGACTGGCTACTCAGCCGAGAAAGAAAGTGCAGAATTTCAAGTAAAAAATAGTGACTGTTTAGTGTGATGAAACTTATCGTGTCATGACTCAGAAACCATGACATGTATCAACACGTTACTCAAGTAGCATGACACGTATATAAACATGTGACCAAGCACCATGACATGTATCGACACACGAGAGAGGCGAATTATGACACTACAACAAAAATATCCGTCTAACCAAATAATGCCGCTAGATATAGGAACACAAAACGAGGCTTTGCCTAAAGTTCATGATACTTAACCACACTAATAACTGGCCACTTAAACAGTACAAGACCATGGAGTGACATAATCAAAGAGAGGACATTATTCTCAAAGGATCAATGGGATTAAAGTACATTTCAACTACTTGGGATACATTCAACAAGAGTTACATTTTTATGTCTTTTACATGAAAAAAACAATTTACTTTGTGAAAATTATTATTTTTCAAATTTACTAAAACCAATTATAACCTGCCACTGTTAGCAGGTTCTACATAGAATTATATATTACACAGCACTGTTCATGTTGTGAGGTGTCCAATGTTACACCGAGTAAGGGCTGTGTGTTGTAGAAGATAATAGAGAATCTATATCCTAATACGTCTACTAAGATCTATTTATTTCACTTTGTCTCTTGGTCATTACCTTGAATACATTGAAATTACTGTGAAACTTCAGCATGAAAAGTCAATTAAAGGGAGATAACTCATGTCATGCCTTAAAGCTCTTCTTCTTTCCTGGTCACTATAACTTGAATCACATGGCCTTTCGGAATCTTTGCGTCCTCGATACGAAGTTTATCATTGAGCAATCGCCCAGAGTAGAAGAATCGCTGTCTTACCACCTCAATCCCTTCTTCTTCACAGATTCGCTTCTTGATTTTATAGACAGAGTCAGTTGTACGAACAGGCATTTTGATGTCCTTGTTTGTGTGAGAAAGGCGGGAATTTGATTGGAATTTCAATCCCAGGTGAGGAATTGTCTGTGTCTTGCCCGTTGTCACTTTCACTGAGTTCCTCAATCAGGTTGGTCGGTGCACTCAGAACGTACACAGGCAGCTGGTAACGGTTACCCAGCTCATCGTAACAGTCCATTAGTGTTCCTGGTAACATCAACAGCAAGCACTTAGGAAAGATTCAAAATCAAAATTTTCTATTTTGTTCAAATTTGTAAGGGAGTGAGTGAGTGAGTGTTTGTGAGTGAGTGAGTGAGTATGGTTTTATGCCACTTTTAGCAATATTCCAGCAATATCAAGGCGGGGGGACACCAGAAAATGGGCTTCACACATTGTACCCATGTGGGGAATCGAACCCGGGTCTTCAGCATTACAAGCGAACATTTTCACCACGAGGCTACCCCACAGCCCCAATTTGTATTGGAAAAACTGTTACTGTTTTCCTAAATTCAGGGGTAGCCAAACAGCATTAAAACCTCTGTAATGATCCTGGTAATACAGTAAGATCAAGTCAGAAATTGAGTGATTAGTTAGATATACTATTCAAAAGAAGTTAGAGAATCTGTCATGATTAAGTAAAGTCATATGAAAATATTGGGTGTTCTTTAACTGCTTTTGAAGTCAAACATCAACATGAATTGGGATAGAGTTAATTCCCCTTTGGGAATGTTAACATTATTTGGTGCAGACTTGGAGTCGCCTATTGGCCTCTGAGGCAATCAGAGCATGTCTTAGTAAACTTAAATATTTAGTTCACAATGGGCACCAATTCACAAACCGACTCGTCCATGCTTGATACAGTTCCCAACAGTTTGTGACATTACTGATCATTCATGACACCAAAACATGCCATTTCCCTAAAAACTACATTGATACTCGACTTTTTCTGCACCAATTCACAAGTTGACCAGTCTAAACCATGTTTGATATGTTTGATACTTAATCCCAATGTGACATTACTGAATCCCAATGTGACATTACTGATCATTCATGACACCAAAACATGCCATTTCCCTAAAAACTACATTGATACTCGACTTTTTCTGCACCAATTCACAAGTTGACCAGTCTAAACCATGTTTGATACGAATCCCAATGTGACATTACTGATCATTCATGACACCAAAACATGCCATTTCCTTAAAAACTACATTGATACTCGACTTTTTCTGCACCAATTCACAAGTTGACCAGTCTAAACCATGTTTGATACGAATCCCAATGTGACATTACTGATCATTCATGACACCAAAACATGCCATTTCCCTAAAAACTACATTGATACTCGACTTTTTCTGCACCAATTCACAAGTTGACCAGTCTAAACCATGTTTGATACGAATCCCAATGTGACATTACTGATCATTCATGACACCAAAACATGCCATTTCCCTAAAAACTACATTGATACTCGACTTTTTCTGCACCAATTCACAAGTTGACCAGTCTAAACCATGTTTGACATTACTGATCATTCAATCCCAATGTGACATTTCCTAAAACTACATTGATCATTCATGACAAGTTGACCAGTCAAAACATGCCATTTCCCAAAAAACTACATTGATACTTTCCTAAAAACTACATTGATACTCGACTTTTTCTGCACCAATTCACAAGTTGACCAGTCTAAACCATGTTTGATACGAATCCCAATGTGACATTACTGATCATTCATGACACCAAAACATGCTATTTCCCTAAAAACTACATTGAAACATCACACTGACATCACAACTCACCATGTGGTAGTGAAATATTGGCCCCATCAACAATGGCTTGAGCCAGGGCGTGGTCTCCAGTCTCCAGGGCATAGGCAGCTGCCTTCAGGGCATCCCAGATCTCCTTCCTGCCCTCAAACGCTGGGGCCGTGTCCCAGAACTCATCTCGCTTGCTGCGGAGCTGTCCCTCAGTCAGCTGCACGTCACTCTTCCACTTCGGTTTCTCCGCCTTCAGAGGTTGGTTCCTTCCTATTGAAACTGTCAACATAAAACACAATATCACACATTGTTTTCTTCATAACACAGCAGTATGTCTGGTTCCGGTCCCAGTGAAATCCTGGATAACTGTCAGTTGATCCGCATGTGAGCATGTACTACGGCTGTTATTGTGAAAATTCACTCTCATATTCGGTGAATCAAACCATATTCCTTCATGAATTCAATTCATTATTCACAATCAATAGAACGGAATATTCAGGAATTCTTCAATTACTTGAATCTTTTATTGAGCAAAGTGAGATATGCAAAATGGGATAAATATCCAAGCCAGGCTGGATAATAGTCAACATTCGTATATTTTTAAGTTGACAGTAATGGGTCACTGGTCATTTTCGTGATAAATTAATTCTGTCAACATTGTCAAAACATGTCATGTAATTGCTGAAGTTGAAACATTTAAATATTTTCAAAAAGGTGAAACTAATCAATGTATTGGGAGCAATGTCGCCTATGGCCTGATGATAGTGCCGTATGAGTGACGCCACTATGTGGCTTGGATATATTCCATTAAGCATACCTCACTTAGACAACAAACTTGTTCAAAGTAAATAAAAGTCTTAAAAATAATTGTAATAATTCAATTCTAGTGACTAGGGGTGTAACAATGCATCGACTTATCGAAGTATTGCTATTGTTGAGTCTCCGATAGCAATTAATCGATGGTAGAAACAAAAAACTATCGATGCATCGATAGCATGTGTGGCTATCGATAGTTTAGCAATTGACTTCCGTTGATATATGCGCAGCACAAAATACAGGAAGTACCAGATTCATTCACTTTGATTTAGAGTTATCCGCCCCTGTTATATTTTAACTGTTTACTTGATCTGGATTTCAAGTTTCTTGTCAGTTATCAAATGAGATTTAAACTACTTCAACTTGTTTTTATTTCATATACACTACACATTAATTTGGGAAATGACTTCAAATGAGACAAGTCAAGGAGAAACAAGAAAAAATTGTGTCTAGGGACGCGGATGCCCCCCACCCACCCCACCCCAGCTGTAGGAAGAGTTCCCTACACTGAGTGTGCTCTGGTGATTAATTTCTACTAAATAAATATCATGGTTGATTATAAAATAAATATATCCAAAGTGTCCAAGGTAAATACTTATTTGTAAATGTATGTCACAATGAACTTACCACAGTCAGTCTAAGTAAACTTAGTCTCAGTATTATTCGTTACACTGCTATAGTGAGTCTAACAAAACCTTGTTTAAGGTTGCGTCAGGTAACCTTTCCAATTGACCAATCCGAACACAGCTTTCCAAATTGCGAAAGTGGACATTCGCACATACCTTTTGAACTTTTACCTCGAAAAAGTTTGTACCCGAACGATTCCGAATGCTATTTTCCGTACGATCGGTTCCCACACTCCGGCGCAGTGATGACTTAGCATAACATCACTGCCACAGGCTAATTTGCATATCATGTGACCGGACTTTTCTCTTGTTTGTAAACAAGCGCGCATAATAAGAAGAGACAGGTCTTAGGCAAGCTTTTCGGCGCGCTCTTCACAATGTTTTACATTGTTACATATATATTCTTCCACAACTGCGACAGTAACATTTATGACAGTACATATTTAGATATCAAACTAGTTGCATCGTTTGCTCTCCGTCGGCTTCGATGACAGCACGTGGAGCCGTACAACCTATGTAAACAAAGGATCCCTACGCAAATCGAAATAGTGTTACATGTTTTAGGATATTTTCTCAGTGAAACTAAACCATTCTATCAAAGATGTTTAATTAGATGTGTAGACTCATCAAAAATTAAAGAGTTAAGAAATATGTAGATTATATTGAATGGACGGTGCAAGATGTGACGAATCGTCACATCTTTCTGGCCTGTGGCAGAGGTACTATGCTGACTTGCCGCATGGAACTCTGTGTAGGAGAGTGATCGGTTCCTAGTGATGCACGCCACAGCAGTGAGTAAACATTCGTTGAAAATAGCGTTTTGTCAGTATTAAAACATGTCAACTTGCAGAAATATTAGCTAATTATAACCATGTCAACAGGAACCCCAAAGCGTATATACTGCAGGTCAAACATCAGTGTTTTATGCGGATTTTCAGTTTTTGGGAGATCAGTGTTGGCGACCGGGGACGAGAAAATCCATTTTGAAAGTCCCGCCGAACCCTAAATAGTAGCCGTTGTCTGATTGGTTAAATCCGTTCGGCCATCTCGCCTTTGATTGGACGGTCATAGGTCGCTCAAAGGTTACCTGACGCGACCTTCCACAAGGTTTTGTTAGACTCAGTATAGCAGTGTAACGAATAATACTGAGTCTAAGTTTACTTAGACTGTTACCACAGTACAATTAAACCTATATCATGAAGGTTCATGGCACAAGGGTAAATAAACTAGCAATATCACTGTGGAGGCAAGTGAAAGCAATAGATTGCTGTAGTGGTAAGTTTTGGCATATTCTGGAACATATTCAATATGGCAGGTTGAAAGTTAACTGTTCCATGACATGATATTATTGCATACCTCACACTGTTTATCTGTTTAAGTCCATAATTATTTCCATGGAGTTGAGATGGGCTTGTTTGGTAAAAACTGAGCAACTGAGAGGTTTTTAGTCATAAAACAAAGATTGATCAACATATCTTCTATGCAACTATGAGATGCACACCTTTAGAGTCCCAATGAAACACATGTATAAGCTTAATCAATTCTGTTGAGCAGTGTTTGTGGAGAAGTGGATAGACTTCATCCCCTATAACACTATATTCAGAGAGAAATTCAACAAAATTTATGTAAGTTCAAATGGCATTAAAATTGGAAAAATAAATAAAATACAAAATCAAAATATGAGATGCACACCTTAGAGTCCCTATAAAGCACATGTGTAATCTAAATGAATTCCATGAAGTAGTTTTTGAGGAGAAGTGGATAACGTACACCCCCACGTTGGATGGAACGAACAGGCTGAATAGAACAAAATTCAACTAAGTTCAAACATCTGTACATGTGACAAAATTAAGAAATTGTATAAAAAATTATGAAATGCACACCTTTAGAGTCCCTACGAAAGACATGTAGAAGTTCATTCAATTCTGTTGAGTAGTTTTTGTGGAGAAGTGGATAGACTTCATCCCCTATTACACTATCATCATAGAGAAATTCAGCAAAATGTACCTAAGTTCAAATGTCTCTAAACTTACAAAAAAATCAATAAAATACAAAACAAAATATGAGATGCACACCATTAGAGTCCCAAGAAAGCCCATGTATAAGTTCATTGAATTCCACAAAGCTTTTTTTGTGGAGAAGTGGATAGAGTACGGACAGACGGACACGGAGGGTAACCCTATATGTCCCCAGCCATATATGGCGGGGGCATAAAAACTATTGCAATAGTATTGCAATAGTTGGTCTCAATAGACTATCGCTACTGCAATAGTATGTTGCAATAGACTATCGCTATCACAATAGTTGTTTCCCTTTCAATAGTCACCCCTACTAGTGACCATGAATAATGAAATAAATTCATGAAGGGATATGGTTCACTTCACCGAATACATAAATGAAGCATCCCAATCTGTAGCATCGCAGTATGTTGGTATAGCATGTGCACACAAGTAGGTCATCACCTATATACAAGTAGGTCATCACCTGTACACAAACGAGCTGTCACCATTATACCACTGCCTTTTCACCATATCACTATTACTTACCTATCAAACTGGTTGCTTAAGGAGGTTGCATATTAAATATCAAAATCTCAAGAAATTGCTAAATTTGGTATCATTTTGTAGCAAAATGTGTCCCAAATCTAATTATGTAATAAAAATAGCAAGACACCACGACATTTGTTTGATAAGTGGCGCTCCCTTGTGGCACCATCTGTAAAATGTAATATGTCAATAAAAGTTCTCTTAAAAGTAAATTGTTTACTTTTATTATTCAATATGTGGTTTTTTATAAAGATATTTCAGTACTGATATAATATAAAGCTGGAAAATCAATTTTCAAGGCAGTATGTAGGATTTGGCAAATTAATTAACTTCCAAAAAAACAGGAATTTAAAAAAAATATTGACTCATCAATGAAATAAAGATTTTCATAATAACAAGATTTTTTAAATAAATTGAATTTTTATATAGTAAATTCACACTAGATTAATATTCAAAAATAAAAAACCCGTTAAATTTGATAAGGGGAGATAACTCTTGCCCAGGTTTACTTCTGGATTTCCAAGGTCGCCCTAAAACCTTACATACCTACCTATCTACTTCAGGATAAATGCTTGTGTGGCCAAAATAGCATGAAGTATGATTAGAAGCAAGATAAAGGGAAATAACCGCTTAGCATAAAAGTCACCCCCCTACTAGTAATAATTGTGTCCTGTTATTGCCCACATGAGTTTTGACTTTTTTAGGTGAGGTTCCAGATTACAATCAATTATTGATCGATTACTCAGGTCCGATAGATCGATTACTCAGGTCCGATAGATCGATTACTCAGGTCCGAGTATCGATCTGCATAGTGTGAGAAATAACGAGAACTGATATGCGATATAATTGTTTTTATTTTGATAAGTTTGACTAGCTAAAGCTATATGAGCTAATGTTAGCAAATATCTGCTAACAAAGAAGTTAAAAACGTGTCCAAATTGTTGACGATGAGTGACAAAGTGAGAAAATGTACAGCTTCAGTTTCCTTGATTTTTATCATTGTTCAGTTGGGATTTTGATTCCTGGTTCAGTGTCATGGTTGGTGCACAGAAAATGTTTCACTTTCAAGGAAATAAGAAAATTGTGAGAAATGTCTCAATCCCAAATCGCTTCAATACAGTTCACAACAACTGAAGCAATTCTAAGATCTCCAGAAAGAAATAAAGCAACAAATTTCTACTGAAGACTTGGCCAAATTCGTGAACATTAGTTGTTGAACTGTATTCCATAAACAGTTCTCCCACAAACACTTGAGAATGAGATGCCGTACTTTTTACATCAGACAGTGAGCGAGTGAGTGAGTGAGTCTGGTTTTATTGTGCTTTTAGCAATTTTCTAGCAATATCACGGCAGGGGACACCAGAAATGGGCTTCACACATTGTACCCATGTATCGAACCCGGGTCTTTACTGTGACAAGCGCACACTTTAACCACTAGGCTACGCCACCGCCCTTTATATCAGACAGATACAGCTTCCCTTATCATCATAAATCCCTGCTCATCAAGATCCTGGAAGCTGGAGGTCAAAAGGACATCATGGTGACCGTGTGATAGCTACTTTATTCGTGCTAGTTCTACTAGACATGGTAGATACAGTCACACTTTGTTGGATGTTTCAACTCTGGTGCACTACAAGCCTGCAGGACATGTGATATTTTCCTTGATTCCATGGGTACAATGTGTGAAGCCCATTTCTGGTGTCCCCTGCCGTGATATTGCTCAATATTGCTAAATGTGGCATAAAACCCAACTCACTGTTAAAAATATTGCAATTTGAAGTCAGATTACGCTACTGATTTGAACATGAACAGGAAAGCAGACACAAAACAGAAGCATCCTATCTTTACCTGAATCCATTATATTATAATGTCTGTCATGTACCATGCTTGTTGATCACATAGACGGGTGAACTTGTGATACACAGACAGGGTCAGCGGAGACCAGTCGGGGCTGTACAGTACATTGTTGCATACAAGTAGGTTACAGCTAGGCACTGAACGGACATATTGGTAGGGCAGTCATGCTTCACTTACCTCATTACACACAACCATAATATCTAACTTTCAGCAGATGCATATTAATGTCATCCTCACTGTTTCACAGCAGTTACAGAACCCAAGGACACAATAGTGGGTGACCTCAGCAGTTACAGAACCCAAGGACACAATAGTGGGTGACCTCAGCAGTTACAGAACCCAAGGACACAATAGTGGGTGACCTCAGCAGTTACAGAACCCAAGGACACAATAGTGGGTGACCTCAGCAGTTACAGAACCCAAGGACACAATAGTGGGTGACCTCAGCAGTTACAGAACCCAAGGACACAATAGTGGGTGACCTCAGCAGTTACAGAACCCAAGGACACAATAGTGGGTGACCACAGCAGTTACAGAACCCAAGGACACAATAGTGGGTGACCACAGCAGTTACAGAACCCAAGGACACAATAGTGGGTGACCACAGCAGTTACAGAACCCAAGGACACAATAGTGGGTGACCACAGCAGTTACAGAACCCAAGGACACAATAGTGGGTGACCACAGCATTTACAGAACCCAAGGACACAATAGTGGGTGACCACAGCAGTTACAGAACCCAAGGACACAATAGTGGGTGACCTCAGCAGTTACAGAACCCAAGGACACAATAGTGGGTGACCTCAGCAGTTACAGAACCCAAGGACACAATAGTGGGTGACCTCAGCAGTTACAGAACCCAAGGACACAATAGTGGGTGACCTCAGCAGTTACAGAACCCAAGGACACAATAGTGGGTGACCACAGCAGTTACAGAACCCAAGGACACAAAAGGACACAATAGTGGGTGACCACAGCAGTTACAGAACCCAAGGACACAATAGTGGGTGACCTCAGCAGTTACAGAACCCAAGGACACAATAGTGGGTGACCTTTAACATATCGTTTACATACACAATAATGCTGCCATACTGCCATGATTAATAGAAATATAGTTCATGCAATAGACAGGTGAAAATTATTAAAATTTGACAGACATTTTCACAGACATTAGCAGATTAACACATTTGCTAGCCCAACTAGAGAGAGCATCTAAGGACACACTGAAATACCCGGTATTCCATTAACTTTTGTTTGTTCTTGTTTAACATGTTTAATGCCACTCTCTGTAATATTCTAGCTATGCAACAGCAGTCTGTCAATAATCAAGTCTGAACCAGACAATCCAGTGACTGACATCATGAGCATCTGCTTAATTTGTATTTGTAGTCAATGACAAGTGATATGTAGGTCATGAGGTCAGTCACTGCATTGTCTGGTCCAGGAAATGTTTACAGTCTGCCATCATATAGCTGGAATATTGCTGAATGCAGTGCTTAACAACAAACAAACAATAACTGTTGGTCTTCTGGACCACTGGTAAAACCCTGATTTACTTCATACACAACTCACCTGCCAATACAGCAACTGTAAGTGTTACAGACTGGAGCAATTACAGCCATGAGAACTGAAACTCCTTAGCCTTGAGCAGTCCAGTGGAAGTTCAGCCATTACAGTAAACTACAGATGTAGCGAACTCTATGTATAGTAGTTAATTATAACCATAGTTATATTTTGCCCAAATAAAGTGTTTCTTATGTCTGTCTCTAAGTGAGTGAATGAGTGAGTGGTTAAAATGTTATGTCTGTCTCTAAGTGAGTGAGTGAGTGGTTAAAATGTTTGTTCTGTCTGTCTCTGTGGCGGCAGACTGTAAATAATCGAGTCTGGACCAGACAATCCAGTGATCAACAGCATGAGCATCAATCTGAGCATCGATCTGTGCAATTGGGAACCGATGACATGTGTCAACCAAGTCAGCAAGCCTGACCACCCAATCCCATTAGTCGCCTCTTACGACAAGCATGGGTTACTGAAGATCAATATTCTGAGTGAGTGAGTGGTTAAAATTTTTGTTATGTCTGTCTCTGAGTGAGTGAGTGAGTGAGTAAGTGGTTAAAATGTTTGTGATGTCTGTCTCTGAGTGAGTGAGTGAGTGGTTAACGCTCCTTTTAGCAATATTCCAAAATATTCACAGCAGGATACACCAGGAATGGGCTTCATATACATTCTACCCATGTGGGGAATCGAACCCAGGTCTCAGAGTTACTAGTGAATGCTTTAACCACTCTGCCATTCTACCATCCTTCCTACATGGTATTCAGTATTCACCTGATGAAGATACAAGAAGAAACCAACAAGGAAGAAAACAAGTATTACATCTCCATGGCTGATATCAACACTGAGGCCCTGTGAGGGGAAGTAAATCACCTCACTGATGATTATATGAGTATAGAGTATGATTATATCGTCCTCTAGTTTAACCTCAGCAAATGTGTTTCCTTTTTATCTCCTCCGTTAAGACCTCCTCATCTACAGTATATATGGACATGTTGAATAATATAGAGTTTTAAGTTTATATCTACCTCTATTTTGACTGCATAATACTTGTTTAACAATCAACACTAAAGGAAAGATGAAAATCCCAAGTTTGCTTTAGCATCATAAGATCCCATGGTCTCAAGTATGGTGACGTAGCATTAGATCCTATGATCCCAAGTATGGTGACATACTATTAGACCCTATGATCCCAAGTATGGTGACGTACCGTTAGACATTATGGTCCTAACTATGGTGAAGTACCATTAGACCCTATGATCCCCAAAATAGTTCAAATACTGCCAACATAACTTCAAACTATAACTCACCCACACTCCAAAGAATATGATGATGCGTGAAACTACTCAACAAGAATAAGTATTCTAAACTAACTTAAGTATGGAAACTCAGGATAGCTGTAAGGCTCTCCACATTTTGTCTAATGGTGTGTATTTGTTCTGACAATAATCCACCTCACACTGACATATTGTCCCAGAAATAGACTTACATATATATTTAAAAGAATATACATACAAATGAATATTCCAAAACAAGCCCAAAGAGTTCTGAACAATTTAGCAATTTTGATTTGGTCAAGTATGGTCAAGTAATTCTAGACCTGAGTTTGACTGTTTCAATAAATCATGTTGCGGTCTGAAACAATTAGTGGATTCAACACTAACATACAATGTTTCACCTTAAATTAACTTATCAAGGTTCTATTTATCATAGGGCAGTGGGGAAGCCTAGTGGTTAAAGCGTTGGCTCGTCACGCTGAAGACCCAGGTTTGAATCCCCACATGGGTACAATGTGTGAAGCCCATTTCCGGTGTCCCCCACCGTGATGTTGCTGAAATATTGCTAAAAGTGGCATAAAACCAAACTCAGTCAGTCAGTCTGTTTATCATAATGAATCAAAACGGAAATCATTAACAATAACAATAACCACTATACTGACTTGTCAAGAAATATTATAATCCACAACAAAGTAAATGTGATAATGATAATAATGATATAGAAAACAAACTTTCATCACTTTTGAAAATTGATAATTAGATGGGAGAACAATAATAGCCAACCCGTCAGGATACTGACAGCTTAATAGAAAAGTGGAATAGAATATGCAAAACAAAAGTAACTCCAAATGCATGAATCATTAAAATTGTTCATATGTAAATATAAATAAAGATTGCCTAGCAAAGTCATCTCGTGACACTGATGAACAAACAGTTTGTTTACCGTAATAACAACTGGAAAGTTTAGAATCTAATTAGCATTAAATTTGAAGTTAAACATGGAGATGGATATAGTTGACATCAGCAGGCTGCAGCCATGGAGGGAGGACATGGCGAGGCTAGAAGCGATGACAATCACGCAGATTCAGCAGACGATGCCTTTCGGCAGTTTATCTGTACCCGGATGTTCAAGATCAGCTGTGGAGTTAGTGTAGTGGTGTGGAAAAAGCAAATTTCCTCGTCTCCCTCCCAAGATAAACAAATCAACACCTACCATGTTGTACCATACCTGTCACATCCGACGACTCCCTAGAAGGTGGGCCATTGTCTCGGTTAGCCCCTATACACCCTCCCATGACAACCGGGGGAGGGGAATAAGCCTCTGGCAGATATTTTGGGGGATTCCCTGAAGATTACAATGGACTTTTGATCACCTTCCTTCTCTCTCGGCCGTGACGTCACACAAACAAGGTGCTTGCTTGTCAAAGACACGTTTCATTGGTCGAAAATATTGGTCGGAATCTATATTGGAATAATCTTGAAAGCTATTCATTGTATATTTACATGTGTTTGTTATGTATGTAGTTATATGATTTCATAAATTTATTATCACGATCTGGACCTTGTATTTGTTTACTGCCGTATTAAAAGATGGCGGCGCCCAGTTGGAGCATTTCTGTCCAAAATTTTGTTCGAGGAATCGATGACTCTACGGCGTCAGACATCAGCCAATGTACGTAACATTGTTCGTTTTGTAACGAAGAGCGATGGCGAGTGCTAACTCAATTAGCCAAAATAATGTTGGATGTATGTGGTCTCGTAGTCGTATATTGTAATTCACATAACGCCGATCAGAAACACAACAGAGTATTCGTATGGCATGATTCGCCCATGGTTATCGCAGGAACGTAAACTAACATAATGAATATCTATGTTCAAATGTCATGGCATGATAAGCACTGTCAACGGTGATAAAGAAAATTTGATTAAATTATTTTTACCTCATCAAATCAATAAAAAACATTCTTTGGTTGGATTCCCCACATGGGCACAATGTGTTAAGCCCATTTCTGGTGTCCCCCGCCGTGATATTGCTGGAATATTGCTAAAAGCGGCGTAAAACTAAACTCAGTCAGTCAGTCAGTCTGACTGTATATTTCACAATGACTTTGACTGAAGTTGTTTTATGTGACATGTGACACTTGTTTGCTGTTTATAAATCTTATGTTTGTTAATAATTTCAATGTCAATTATAAGAAATACTTAATCTGAAATGTGTGTTTAATTTTATTCCATGGGTCCTGTACATTTTCAATGGGTCAGACAGACATCTGAAACTTACAAGACCCAATGTCCTGTGACTTTGAAACACCATTCGTGAACACTGACTTATTGACTGTAAAAACAGAGTTGCTATTCATTAAGAACACACAAGGGATGAGGGGCATATGTATCTGTGATTATTGATGTTATTTTTGTCAAATTAATATCGTAAAATGGTGCTAATCCCAGGCAGTTGAGACCTTTGAACATTTGAATGAGTGATTTGACATGCTGTATTTGAACTTGCGCCATGGGGTCTCCAAGTGACATGACATTGCTCTTTAATTTTTATTTTCAGTACTGTTGAAAAATGAAGTTAAACTACTGGAGATTGTGGAAGGATTAGGGTAAGAATCTGCAGGGGTTTATCCATCCTATCTCAAGGGATGACATTTCAGTAAGCCTACACTAACCCCTAGACCAATTCCTGTGGTTATTCTGATCTGAAATTGTGCTTGATGTCAGTATGTTTTTTGTCACACTACACATTCTAACAATATTTTAGCAATATGAAGACTTCAAACACTAAGAAAAGTTAACAAGAAATACACAATAGTCTGGCCTGGAGAAAGTCAGCCTGTTTTACCTTGACTTATTTTCTTCAATCAGAATGTCTGTAAAAACAAGAACTATAATTTGTCAGAAACGTTTGTTGATGCCATTACAGGAAGTACCTCACTGACCCAGACACTGGTGTACGTTGTCGAGGAACGGGGCTGTTGGCTGACATCTTACACAATCTCACCCCAGACCTCCTACAAGACAAAGAAGGTAAAATATCTCTGTTTCCCTGATGCAGATTCTGGCAATCATATCTCCCCCTTGTGTTTGTAATTTTGGTTTTGAATTATGTTTTCCATTAACATGTCAGTTCTCTGAAATTATTCACAATCTTAATGACCTTGATTCAGAAATGTCCTTATCTAAAGATAGATTCCCATCATGCTGTACTCAAGTGGGCGTTGAGGCATGACATTTCAAAACAACAGGATGTATAAAATATCCACTGTAGTGTGATAGGCTGACCTTATAATATTACTTATGCTGCTCAGAAAGCCTTTCTAATCTCATTCACAATATTTAGAAACCTTGACATTGATTAGGTGATAAGAAAGTTCTCCTGTCACTATCTCCTACAGGTGTTTGGCAGATCTTCAGTCCTACAGAGCTTAGAGAAATGGATCCCCTGATTATTAATAGACTGTTCAAGAAAGTAAAACAAATCAAAACTGATGCTGTGCAATATCTGATCATACTGAACATGACTGCTTGCTGAATATTTCTCATAGCCAGTTGTTCAGTAACATTCTTTAAGTAATGTACCATTCTTCGTAATACAAGTTTTCAGAGAGTGCTGCTGAACAAACTTAGTTCACATATCAATGAAAACTGTACCATAGTTACTATCCAAATGGTCAGTACTTCTGCACTGCTGTTTTTGGTAAAAATATATCTGTAATATCCACAGACAAATAGGTGCATATGTATACAGATTACTAAAACATTGCTTACAGATTGGTCACACGGCCATAAAAAACCTGGGATAGAACTGGTATTCAGTATCCCATGCTTGACGTTAATGCGGACTGTCAGGATCAGCCGGTCTGATTTGTTGACTTGGTTGATGCATGTTATCGTACCCCAGCTGTGTAGACCGATGCTCATGATGTCAATCACTGGATTGTCTGGTCCAGACTCCATTTTTTACAGATCACCGTCATATAGCTTTAAAATTGTAGAGTGGAATATTGTTTGGCATTCAGTAATAAACAACATAGATTGGTGTTTTAGTTGGTGAGGGGGGCACTTATTGGAGAAGGGCACTGCTTAGATTGAATATGGTATCTGTATTTCAGTTGAGTTGCTGTCCGTGTATCTGTGTGACAAGCTGTCCGATCATCATTCCATCCAACCACCTGCTCTCAACGGCCTCCTTGCTCTGGTGAGTGATAGCCATGGTTACAACATGAGTGTAGCCATGGTTTACAGCATGAGTGTAACCATGGTTACAATTGCAGGGTTCAACAAAACTGTGGCCTATTTGACTGTCGTGTCAAGAACACATGTAAAGTTGAGTCAGTGTGAATGGCTTTTGAATTTTGTTTTGCTTTTGCTTTTTTTTTTGCTATATTTTCCAGAAGCAGATTAAAAGATAGAATAAACCTGATGGAATATTCAAGGCCATGATAAATTAATCATATATAATGAACAGGAATAGTTAGTGATCAGGACGATTTGGGGGAATAATTTTATGTGCTCAGTCTTCTCCTAAAACAAATAGCCCCAAAATATTCATGATCACTAACTTGTTCAGTAATTTAAGGCCATAATGATTTTTAATTTAAGTCCTCCTAGCCTCACGACAGAACACCATAGATAACTGCTACATCCATTGTTTGTCCCCACAATACCTGCAGATGATGAAAACTGCCATGTGTTCCCCCTTCTAAATTTACTTGATGAAATACAAGAAGCGGACATCTGGTCATCAATAGCTCATTCACATGGGTGTCTTGAACATTTTGTTTTTAAAGTCTTTCATGAAAATTAGTTTTATACTGCTTTTAGCAATGTTCCAGCAATATCATGGTGAGGGACACCAGAAAACGGGCTTCACACATTGTATGCATGTGGGAAATCAAACCCGGGTCTTCGGCACGAGGGGCGGTGGGGTAGCCTAGTGGTTAAAGCGTTGGCTCGTCACCCCGAAGACCCGGGTTCGAATCCCCATATGGGTACAATGTGTGAAGCCCATTTCTGGTGTCCCCCACCGTAATGTTGCTGAAATATTGTTAAAAGCGGCGTAAAACCAAACTCAGTCAGTCTTCGGCACGACAGGTAAATGCTTTAACCACCAGGCTACCCCACTGCCCACAAGTGCTGGAGACATTTGGCTAGTCCCATAGAACTGCGAGACAAATGCAAACAGTAATATGATTCCTAATCTGTCAAGTCTTCAGGCCAAGATAAACTAATGTTCACTCACTCACTCACTCACTCACTCACTCACTCACTCACTCACTCACTCACTCACTCACTCACTCACTCACTCACTCACTCACTCACTCACTCACTCACTCACTCACTCACTCACTCACTCACTCACTCACTCACTCACTCACTCACTCACTCACTCACTCACTCACTCACTCACTCACTCACTCACTCACTCACTCACTCACTCACTCACTCACTCCTCACTCACTCACTCACTCACTCACTCACTCACTCACTCACTCACTCACTCACTCACTCACTCACTCACTCACTCACTCACTCACTCCACTCACTCACTCACTCACTCACTGTCTGTGAAGTGACACATCTACTCCTAATAACTGCAGGAGATTTGCCATGATTTCATGTTCCATTGTTTCATGAATGTTCATTTCATTATGTTCACCAATGTTCTACTGTATGTCTGCAACATGTTAACTTAAGCTGTTTTGTTTTTTGTTTTTAGAGCAACTGTAATGCACTCCCAGATGGGGTGGCAGAGAAAATATGTAGCCAGATTTTCAAAGAAGTCCAGAACCAAACCCTGGCTCAGGAAGATCGCCATCATGTGTACATCCTGTTGTCCAACCTGCTGTACAAGAAGCTGACAGGTACTGTATTGGGGCTGGTGTTATCTGACAGCATGGAGCAACATTCACTGTACAAGAAGCTGGCAGGTACTGTATTGGGGCTGGTGTTATCTGACAGCATGGAGCAACATTCACTGTACAAGAAGCTGACAGGTACTGTACAGCATGGCATTCACTGTACAAGAAGCTGACAGGTACTGTATTGGGGCTGGTGTTATCTGACAGCATGGAGCAACATTCACTGTACAAGAAGCTGGCAGGTACTGTATTGGGGCTGGTGTTATCTGACAGCATGGAGCAACATTCACTGTACAAGAAGCTGGCAGGTACTGTATTGGGGCTGGTGTTATCTGACAGCATGGAGCAACATTCACTGTACAAGAAGCTGGCAGGTACTGTATTGGGGCTGGTGTTATCTGACAGCATGGAGCAACATTCACTGTACAAGAAGCTGGCAGGTACTGTATTGGGGCTGGTGTTATCTGACAGCATGGAGCAACATTCACTGTACAAGAAGCTGGCAGGTACTGTATTGGGGCTGGTGTTATCTGACAGCATGGAGCAACATTCACTGTACAAGAAGCTGGCAGGTACTGTATTGGGGCTGGTGTTATCTGACAGCATGGAGCAACATTCACTGTACAAGAAGCTGGCAGGTACTGTATTGGGGCTGGTGTTATCTGACAGCATGGAGCAACATTCACTGTACAAGAAGCTGGCAGGTACTGTATTGGGGCTGGTGTTATCTGACAGCATGGAGCAACATTCACTGTACAAGAAGCTGGCAGGTACTGTATTGGGGCTGGTGTTATCTGACAGCATGGAGCAACATTCACTGTACAAGAAGCTGGCAGGTACTGTATTGATCTGACAGCTGGCGCAACATTCACTGTACAAGAAGCTGGCAGGTACTGTATTGGGGCTGGTGTTATCTGACAGCATGGAGCAACATTCACTCACTGTCAGATCACCTTAGTGGTCCAATGGGGTCAGTGTCAGCCTGGAGATGCCAAAAGCTTATTAAAAATGGTGCTTATTGTTTACCTGCCTGGCATGAATCCTGATGTTAAATCCCATTTCACCGGACACGACGGGGCAGTGGGGTAACCTCGTGGTTAATAAAACTCTCAGTATAAAACTCTCTCACTCACTCACTCACTCACTCACTCACTCACTCACTCACTCACTCACTCACTCACTCACTCACTCACTCACTCACTCACTCACTCACTGTATGTTTAATGTTTTATGTATATATAATTTGTTTCGATATAAGTCACATTCATTGCAGCTGGATGATCACATTTGAATAAACTTTTCAAGGATATAGCGAGTCGCTCGAAACTACAGCAGTGACGTGTCAAATTGTACCATACATAAAACATGTCCGGCAAAACACCGAAGTGCTGTGCGCGGTGGGCGAGCTGGCTAAAGGGCAGGCTAGTGATCCAGTGAGCATGAGCATGAGGTGCCGGGATCGCTGACCAGGTGTTAAAACCTTGGAGTCAACTTTGTGTGCAGACTCTTTCAGTGTTGTCACAACCCCTAGTGTACAGTACACAACCCTGTGCACTTAAAAGAACCCACAAATCCGTTGGTATATGACCAGATGGTGGCCACATGAATACGTGCAAACACCTAGTTGCGGGTATAGCAACGTGCAGTAAACTTCGACAAAGTACTGTGACTATGTGTCCCAGTCCACCCAGCTGTCAATGGGTACCTCGTTAGGATGGGAAAGCCGCAATAACTCGGTGCGCCTAGTGGCTGCGAGAGTTGTATGCTCCCCAGGGAGTTGAGATTGATAATAAGATGTGCTGTTGAGATTGACATCCAATGATCGAGGGCAAAACTACCAGTGCCTTGAGCATGCACTAGTGCGTGGATATGTGCGCTATATAAATATCCTATAATAAATAAAAAAATAATGTTAGTTATGGCTTCAGTATTTTCCATTTATTAGGCAGTCAGACTACAATAGAAAACTTTACATGGCTTCAGACTTGTAGTTGGAGATTTTTCTCCAAGGACATCAAGCTGAAGTCTTGCTATGAACTTTTGCAGAGCTACAGAAGATGGAGGGAAACTTTGTGTGTGGTTACATCCAAGCGATGGATGCTGAGAGAGACCCACGGAATCTCGTCATAGCATTCCAGCTGGCTCAGACCATCACCAGGAACTTCCCTCTCGGTGAGAAATTGTAGTAGAAGAACAGTGGTATCGTTACCAATGTCTATAAACCCATGAAGATCTGGGTTAGAATTTGTCTTCAGCAAACTATGCTTGTTGTAGGAGACGACTAACGGGATTGGGTGGTCAGGCTCGCTGACTTGGGTGACAAGAGACTGTATTCCAGTTGCGTAGATCGATGCTGTGATCACTGGATTGTCTGGTCCAGGTTCAATTATCTACTGACCACTTCCATATAGCTGGAATATGCAGCCATAAACAACAAACAAACTAACCAATGTCTGTGTTTATTTGGTTTTCATGAGACACACACAGAGCAAACACAGCGACAACTGTTGAGTCAAATCTGGTCTCAAACGCATGGGTTTTTTGGCTTGCTCAAGGGAGGGAACTCTCCACAGCTGACCAACCCCCGAAACTTAGGTAGGATGATCTTCATACTCGGGACACGTGTTTTATGCTGTGTTTTCAGGTGTGTTTGTGGAAGAGATGTTTGAGGTGACCTCCTGTTACTTCCCAATAGACTTTAACCCGGTAAGTAGCAGATATATACCCAAAAAATTTATCCTGACTCATGATCTTTTGCTTATCTCCCTTTCCCTTGCGAATGGTAGTGGAACACTTGAATCCCCTGAAGTTCCTGAAGCGAACGTAAAAATACACTCACCCACGAGTTACCTCCCTTTTCCCGTGCAAACAGTCATGTGACCAGCCTTACTTGTCACTCTCTCCCTTTTCACCCAAGCGGATGGTTGGGCGAGCACTGGAGTCCCGTATACGGCATTTTATCCTTTTTTATTTAGGTCCTATTCTTCAAAATTCCGCTGTGTATGGATTTGGCAATAACTACTTTGTATTATATGTAAAAAAATTGTAAAAATGATTTGTAAAAATTATTTGTATTTGTGTCATAATTTCATCGTTATGTAACTTTGTTTACATTTCATGAAATCTTGCAGTGTTTGCAGGCACAGGTTATCAGTGGCTGATCCTCACCCCCAATGCCTTTCGTGCATAAAATCATGTTCTTCCAGCTTGCGCTGTACTTATTGTGTTGATTTATCAAGTCTTCAGTTTAATCAATATTTGTCTTATATCTATAGACGTGCCATGGATCGGGTGAGGAAGTCATCTCAAGTCACGGCTGATAAAACAGGAGATCAGCCTGTAAACTATATGTTGCTTGCTACTGCTGAAGTTCATAATACTGGTGCTATGTTGAGTACGTTGCAGGGGCAGTCTGCTGGTACGGGGGCCAAGAAGAGATCGGCTCCAACGCAGTTGACTCCTACTCAAGCTAAAAACAGATGTCATCTTCTTCTACGTCGCAGAAGAAATCATCTGTTACCAGATCGGAGGGTAGTAAGTCAACGCAGCAGAAATCCTTCAACGAAGGCATATTACCTCCACATGAAGTAGACGTTTTTTGATGATCCCCCGTTACTTCTACCTGAAGTACCTACGAGATCGGTGACTCAATCGACTTCCACGACTACTAGATTGTCTCCTGCAACGGTCACAGCAGGCCATCTGTTTGACGAACTACCACCAACTTCTCAACGGAGTGAAGTAGAGGCACACAACTCATCAGCGTTCGCGAACGCTTCTTCTACACCGCAGCAGCTTCAACCAACGCAGAACTTTGATCCGGGTGGAATTATGAGACAATTCACCAACCAGATGATGGCCATGATGGAACGTAGGTTCGAGGAAGAAGCGAAGGCTCGTGAAGCCTCTCATCTACTGACATCGTGTGCAAACCTACGGACCTGCGCGAACCTACTCCTCATAGAACTACATTCTCAAGACTACGTTGGCGAACATACACCTTTGCGAAGGTCTCCACAGTCGGACGACTCTGTCATCTTGGAGGAGGATAGAAGACATGAGATGCCTACTCACCGTTCTACATCTGCAAACTCTCAACGTTCGAGAACATCGAAGGATCCATCACCTACACCTAGCCGTTCTAGAACGAGATCTCATACCTCTCACAGACGTTCGCGAAATCACTCACCACGAGACAAAGGTTCGCGAAGAGAAAGATCCCATCACAGAGGTTCGCGAAGGGATACATCTAGCGACAGAGGTTCGCGAAGAGTAGGCTCACGTCACAGAGGTTCGCGAAGAGATGAATCCACAGATAGAGGTTCGCAAAGAGAGGACTCTCAAGATAGACGTTCGCGAAGGGAGGAATCTTCAGTTCGCGAAAGGATGATGGTGGTTTGAGAAGGGATACAGGTTCGCAGAAAGATGATTCTCGGAGGCATAGCTCTACCTATCAGGAGATAACTGATGAATAACCAGACTTCGTCTCCCCGGACTCAGAGGTTACAGCTTGGATAGCCAATGGTTTGAACTTGGATTCTCCTTCTGAGGATATAGATGAAGTCTACACTTATATGATGCGTAATGACGACTTTGACTCGGTGATTATTCCTCCAATTGAACCTATATCCAAGGTACCTTCTAAGCTACTCACAGCTTTGAGAAAGCTGCAGACATCTACAAGGTTCGAGAACTCTCAGTCAGATCTACAGGCAGATGACAGCAACGGAGACATCTACAGGGTTCGCAAACCCTAGGGTTAACAAACCCCTTACATCAACAGGCAGGATGTTGACGTCGACTCAACTAAAAGATCTACAACATGTGCGATCTCTGCAGTTTACAGCCTGCACAACTTTACAACCTGCACAAACCTTATACCTGTATAGGTTCAGTTTCGGACAACAACCTACTTGATGATAGGAATCACTTCATCTATACGGATGCTGAGGTCTTATACCGGGTAGCAGATGGCCTGCGGATATTGTCGTTCACTCACTTACTCCAACCCAACAGAGACGTACTGCATATATGCTGATGACTTCGACTCCAATATGATATCACCTATGAAGCTGATATGTCAAGCACTGGAGAACATCAAGGCGACCTTTGTAAAGGGCTTAAGGTTAACAACGCCTGCAAGAATCCTTGAACGGACGTACAGATGTTATTATTAACACTTGTCACTCAGCGTGGGGATTAGGATTTTATATCCTATCAACTAGATTCAACATCGGTATTTCTTGAAGATCCATACAGACATACGTCTCAACAGCATCCTTCGTCAGGTTGGTTTATATTATCTACAATGGGAATATGTGATTTATATCACTGAACAAGATTTTACACTTGGAGCAACCCTTATAAACTACGCACGCTTTTACTCAACCAACTAATTGAACCAGACTTTGTGGAGGCCAACTTGCTACAACATCGGTGACGTCATGCTTGAAGCTGATTGGTCCACGTCAGACAATGCCTCCCACTGACAGAGCAGGCACAAGCAAGTTTACTGACTTGTAAACAAACCGTGAGTACGGGGGTATACTTCATTGGCAGCCTTGGAAACAGTATACAACTACGGCCTGTTATCATCATGGTAATCTAATAGATGTCTAACCTTGACAGCAGGATAAACAATGTTTATTTTGGAAGTTGTCGCTGATAAAAATCGGTATGAGTACCTGTCCCCTGCGATGCTACACTGGAGCCAGCCTTGCTATAAATTGACAACGCTTCTATGTATGCTGATCAACACAGATAGCCTGCGTATATAAGGGGAAGAATGATGTATCATCACTACAATCAGAGGTTAGCACTTCCAATAGAACGTCCTACCGTTTGGAATATTGTCGGCTCTATGATTATCCATACGAATAACGAAGCCATGAATAACGAAGCCTATCGGCACTTATCATCAGCATCGAGATCTACGCAGTGCCGGTTATCTGGATGATGGCATACAGATTCTTCAAAGTGCCAATCAACTCAGACAGCAGCTGAGCTTCAAAATTAATGATTCCACCTGCAGTCATCTCTCCGTTAACACTACGAACATGGCAATGTCTACTCGGTCTACTAATCTCGGCGCAGGACTTGACTCACACAGGACGGTTACAACTAAGACCGCTGCAACGGTTCCTGCCTCGATGCAGGGTTGGGGTGCGCATCTCAACAATCAAGTTGCATCAGAAAGGTGGTCCAAACTAGAGCAGCATCTTCACATCAATCTGCTGGAGATGAAAGCCGTGATCAACGCCTTACAACTATGGTCGAGCTCGCTGAATAACAGAATGCTGATGGTCCACACGGACAACTCTACAGTGGCATTCTCCATAAATCGGCAAGGATCCACAAGGTCCCCAAGCCTGCTACAGCTCACATTCCAGTTGTTCCACATCACGCAGGAAGCAAACATCTGGATAAAGGCGTGTCACATACCCGGAGCAGAACGTACTTGCAGGCGCTCTCTCCCGACCACTGCACCCGTCACCTACAGAATGGATGCTCCATCCAGAAGCGTTCCGGCTCATCATAAGGGAAATAGGATCCCCTTGCATAGACCTGTTTGCCACGAGGTTCAACAAACAACTACAGACGTTTGTCTCACCAGTTCCAGATCCTCAAGCCTGGGCAACAGATGCACTGAGCATATCATGGGAAGGACTACGTGCCTACGTGTTTCCAACCCCGATATTACTTCCAGAAGTACTGTTGAAGATCAAACAGACACAGGCGCTACAACTGACTTTGGTCGCGCCCTACTGGCCAGCGAGAGTATGGTTCCTAGACCTAATAGAAGATCTCGGAAGTCCAGTAATCAAGTTACCAGATTGGCCGAACCTACTCACACATCTGCACACCAAGCAAGTCCACGGGAATCCGACAGTGTTCCAGCTACACGTGTGGACCATATCAAAACATGTTTGAAGAAAAGAGGATACTCCGCCAGGGCAGCCAAGGCAGTAACGCTAGCGTTACGCAGATCTACTCATAACCTGTATGATGACAAATGGCTGAAGTTTGAGACTTATGCAAGGCGGAAAGGCTTCACTGCGATGATAGCTACTCATCCTCAAGTGGCGGAATATCTGTGTCATTTTAGACAGACCAGACATCTGAAAGGTTCGACATTATCTACATACCTCGCCGCCATCAGTACAGTGATTACCATGAAAACAGGCACCAAGTTGACAAAAGTACCAGAATTACTTGCTCTGCTGAGATCTTTTAAACTGGAGGACCAGCAAAAGAAGTTCAGAGCTCCAGCATGGGATCTGAATGTAATTCTACGTCATCTTTCGAGACTACCCTCGAGCTGCTGACACAGAAGACTCTGTTCCTGCTTACGCTAGCCACGGCAGCTTGAATATCAGAGATACATGCGCTGGACTTTGGTCGAACCAGTTTTGACAGGGGGCAACATGCTGCAGTTCATCTAGGACTTAGATGGGACTTCATTGCCAAGAACCAACTACCTGATTAGCCAGATAGACAGTTCCACATACCAGCTCTATCTACAATCCTCGGCCCACAGGATATAGAGGACCTATCCTTGTGTCCGGTCAGAGCCCTGAAGATATATCTTCAAAAGACTGAGACAAGGAGACAAAAATTCAAGCGCCTGTTCATCCCATTATCAACAGAGACATCAGCAGAAGTCTCAAGAACGACCATATCGTTCTGGATGAGAGCCGTCATATTGAGAGCCTATAAAGCAGCAGGACTAGAACCTCCTAGAGCTTCCAACCCACACGAAGTCAGAGCACTGGCGTCAACACTGGCTCTGCACAGAAATTGCTCTATACCAACAATTATGGAGGGCTGCTTTTGGAAGTCGGACACAGTGTTTGCCAACCACTACCTCTGAGACATAGCCACTGAAGACGTCTCAGGCATTCACCAATTTGTGCCTCTTGTTGTAGCACAGCAACTAACGGTTCCTCAAAGGCGCTCACCATTTATCACGTTGACTTGTTGATAACTTTACTGAAGAAAAAGTATTAGTTTGAAAGTCAATGCGCACAGTCTAGCACAGGCTAGCATGAGTGATTAAAGATCCTGTATGGGTAAAGATCTTACCTGTATGTGAAGGGGTCGCAACTCATTTATGAAAAGATCTTATCATAATCTATGGGTTGTTATGAGATATCTAGTAATAAGAAGATACTAGTTTATCTGTAGCCACATGAATCAACATGATTCAACTTGTCTGAGACTGAAGTAAGACAAGAAAGTGGTCCCCCCGAGTTATAACGGAAGTTGGAAGAATAGGATCACGGAAATGCCATTTCGCAATTCCCATGGGGGGGATACAGGACGTATCTAAGGACAGCTGATGAATCCACGAAGTGGCTTGACCCACCACCAATCTGTCAGATTCTATAAGCAAAAGATCATGAGTCAGGATAAGTAAAAATATGTAATTTTTTAAGTGAAATTGATATTTTTATACTTATCCTGACTCATCACGAGAAGCCCTCCCAACCTCCCCGTTGAAGACACTTTGGATTTCACAGCAGATCCAAGTGCACAGGCAGAAATTCAGGAGAGATTGACAAGTAAGGCTGGTCACATGACTGTTTGCTCGGGAAAAGGGCAAAAGGGAGGTAACTCGTGGGTGAGTGTATTTTTACGTCCGCTTCGGGAACTTCAAGGGATTCAAGCGTTCCACTACCATTCGCAAGGGAAAGGGAGATAAGCAAAAGATCATGGGTCAGGATAAGTATAAAAATATCAATTTTACTTTAAAATTTACATTATTAATGATACAAATGAGACACTGGACTCATATGTCAGCAGGTCTTTTAATAAATGAGTTCCTTTTGTCCAAAAACTATAGGATCTTGTTTTCAATGTTGTTGTAGAGCTAGATGATTGTTTACAAATTAAATTGATTAAAAGTAATTTTGCATATGATATTGCCTACATGGAACCAGGTTCAATGCCACTGTTACTATTACATGAATGAATGAGGAAGAGTGTTTTATAGATGTCATTATTACAAAAAATGCCCTATTATTATTATTGTGAGGAACAACGTTTCAGAGTATATGCTTACTTCTTCATCATCTGAAGAAGTTGACATCCATAAAACTCTTTTCATTATGTCTATCACTTCTAAATGCCATTCAAAGATATAAATGAATGACCAAGAAATAAGTGAGTTTGACTCATTACTTGCCTGTAGAGCTGTTTGTGTATTTTATTGTTGAGGAAGATTTTAATGCACACAAATGTTCAACTGCATCATTTTCAAAGATTTCAGTTTTCTTCATATAATAGCAGTAATAATCTTTTCTTTGATATATTAATAACAGTTTACTAAAAAAAACTTGTTTCAGTCTGCGAAGGACCCAGGCGGTATAACCCGAGCTGACCTGATCACGGCACTCCGGGGCTGTTTGACAGCCTCACCCAAGTTCGGTCAATACTGTCTGCCACTCCTCATTGAGAAAATCTCCTCCGACATTCAGAGTGCCAAAATTGATTCTTTAGACACCCTTGTAAGTTCACATTCATGATTTTTTCTTATCCTGACTCATGATTTTGCTTATCTCCCTTTTCCTTTTCGAATGGTAGTGGAACACTTGAATCCCTTGAAGTTCCTGAAGCGGACGTAAAAATACACTCACCCACGAGTTACCTCCCTTTTGCCCTTTTCCCGCGCAAACAGTCATGTGACCAGCCTTACTTGTCAATCTCTCCCTTTTCGCCCAAGCGGATGGTTGGGCGAGCACTGAAGTCCCTTATACAGCATTATATCCTTTTTATTTAGGTCCTATTCTTCAAAATTACGCTGTATATGGATTTGGCAATAACTACTTTGTATTATATGTAAAAGAATTGTAAAAATTATTTGTATTTGTGGCATAATTTCATATATTTATGTAACTTTGTTTCATATTTCATAATTTATGTAACTTTGTTTACATTTCATGAAATTTTGCAGTGTTTGCAGGCACAGGTTATCCGTGGCTGATCCTCAACCCCAGTGCCCTTCGTGCATAAAACCATGTTCTTCCAGCTTGCGCTGTACTTATTGTGTTGATTTATCAAATCTTCAATTTAATCAATATTTGTCTTATATCTATAGACATGCCATGGATCTGGTGAGGAAGTCATCTCAAGTCACGGCTGATAAAACAGGATATCAGCCTGTAAACCGTATGTTGCTTGCTACTGCTGAAGTTCAGAATACTGGTGCTATGTTAAGTGCCCAGTCTGCTGGTACAGGGGCCAAGAAGAGATCGGCTACAACGCAGTTGACTCCGACTCAGGCTAAGAAAAAGACGTCGTCTTCTTCTACATCGCAGAGGAAAGCATCTGTTACCAGATCGGAGGGTAAATTTACGCGGCCTAGTAAGTCAATGCAGCAGAAATCCTTCAACGAAGAGATATTACCTCCACATGAAGTAGACATTTTTGATGACCCCCCGTTACTTCTACCCGAAGTACCTATGAGATCAGCTACTCAATCGACTTCTACGACTACTAGATCGTCCCCTGCAACGGTCACAGCAGGCCACCTGTTTGACGAACTACCACCTACTTCTCAACGGAGTGAAGTTGAGGCGCAGAACTCATCAGCATTTGCGAACGCTTCGTCTACACAGCAGCAGCTTCAACCAACGCAGAACTTTGACCCGGGTGAATTTATGAGACAATTCACCAACAAGATGATGGCCATGATGGAACGTAGGTTCGAGGAAGAAGCGAAGGCTCGGCGAAGCCTCTCATCTACCGACACTGTGCGCAAACCTACGGACCTGTGCGAACCTACTCCTCATAGAACTACGTCTCAAGACTATGTTGGCAAACGTACACCTTTGCGAAGGTCTCCACAGTCGGACGACTCTGTCATCTTGGAAAAGGGTAGAAGAGATGAGATGCCTACTCACAGTTCTACATCCGCGAACCCTCAACGTTCAAGAACATTGAAGGATCCATCTCCTACACCTAGCCGTTCTAGATCGAGATCTCATATCTCTCACAGGCGGTCGCGAAGTCACTCATCACGAGACAGAGGTTCGCGAAGAGAAGACTCACACCACAGAAGTTCGCGAAAGAGAAGACTCACATCACAGAAGTTCGCGAAGGGCTACATCTAGCGACAGACATTTGCGAAGGGATAGCTCACATCACAGAGGTTCGCAAAGAGATGAATTTACAGATAGAGGTTCGCGAAGAGAAGGCTCACACCACAGAGGTTCGCTGAGTTCACATCATAGAAGTTCGCGAAGAGAAGACTCACATCACAAGAGAAGACTTCATCACAGAAGTTCGAGAAGGGCTACATCTAGCGACAGACATTTGCGAAGGGATAGCTCACATCACAGAGGTTCGCAAAGAGATGAATTTACAGATAGAGGTTCGCGAAGAGAAGGCTCACACCACAGAGTTCGCGAAGAGAAGGCTCACATCATAGAAGTTCGCGAAGAGAAGGCTCACATCATAGAAGTTCGCGAAAGAGAAGACTCACATCACAGAAGTTCGCGAAGGGCTACATCTAGCGACAGACATTTGCGAAGGGATAGCTCACATCACAGAGGTTCGCAAAGAGATGAATTTACAGATAGAGGTTCGCGAAGAGAAGGCTCAGAGAAGGCCACATCATAGAAGTTCGCGAAGAGAAGGCTCACATCATAGAAGTTCGCGAAAGAGAAGACTCACATCACAGAAGTTCGCGAAGGGCTACATCTAGCGACAGACATTTGCGAAGGGATAGCTCACATCACAGAGGTTCGCAAAGAGATGAATTTACAGATAGAGGTTCGCGAAGAGAGCACTCTCAAGATAGACGTTCGCATAGGGAGGAATCTTTAGATAGTGGTTCGCGAAAGGATGACGAAGGTTCAAGAAGGGATACAGGTTCGCAGATGGATGAGTCGCAGAGGCCTAGCACTAATAATCAGGAGACTTTGGATCAGCAAGCAGACTTCGTCTTCCCAGACTCAGAGGTTACAGCGTGGATTGCCAACAGGTTGAACTTGGAGTCTCCTTCTAAGGATAAAGATGAAGTCTACACTTATATGATGCTTAACGACAACTTTGACTCCGTCACTACCCTCCGATTGAACCTATATCCAAGTTACCCTCTAACCTACGCACAGCTTTCGCGAAAGCATCCAAGTACCACCAGAGTCAGCACCTACCATCATTTAATGTGAAGAGATTCCCCTTACATCATATGGATCCATTTACAAAGGCGCCTGGATGGGATGATAACTTAAAGTTAGTAAACGACTCCCGAAACAAGATGTATAAAGTGGAAGATAAAAAGTTATCTCAACTTGATACTGCTACAAGGAGATCCTTCTTCGGGTTGGCCAGGTCCAGAGCCATCAATGAAGCATTGATCAATAAATTCCAGAACTCAAGTTCGGAAGAGGATAGAATGATATATTCGGCCCTCATAACACAGAAGAAGGACCAATACTTTTTATCGGACCATCTGGCATCTATATCTGCAGGTTTCACTTTACTACGCAGACAAGGGCTACTTGCATCCTGTTCATGGAGTGATAGATTCACCCAACCGCTACTGAGAGCTCCATGGGAGGCGCTTACTACTTCGCAAAAGTATAACAGCAAGTCCAAATATTCCGGCATACAGAAGGCAAAGGAGAAGAAGTACTCCAGCTTCAGAGGCGGCAAAGGATCTTTTCGTCGCCCATCTAGAAATTACAGAGGAAACTCAGGGAGAGGCCGCACTCCCAGAGGATCCAGAGGAACTAGACGTTGATATCAACGGAACGACTGGAGTCTTCCACCCCCAGCCGTTCCTGTAAAACCGTCGACAGTGGGTGGACGTCTACAAAGGTACTGGAAAAATTGGGGAATACTAGAGGACGACTACGTCTCCCAAGTACTAAGAGAAGGATACAGAGTACAACTCAAGGCCACACCTCCGCTAACCCTCAGCCCGATGGTCTTCGACTATGCAGAGGAACAGGCAGACAAACTACAAGAAGTCATTGACTCACTACTTATGAAGGAGGCAGTAGAGATAATAGATCAGCATCATCTCACTCCAGGCTTCTATTCCCCAATTTTTCTAGTACCCAAGAAGAACTCCAAGGAGAAGTTCAGACTGATTTACAACATGCGCAAATTCAACAAAGACTATCTACTGAAACCAGAGAGGTTCAGAATGATCCACCTACCTCAACTCAGACTACTTGTCCGTCCAGCAGATTACATGACCAGCATAGACCTGCAGGATGCTTATCTACACATCCCCATACGTCCGGAATCAAGAAAGTATCTACGATTCCTATTCAGAGGGCAGCACTTCCAATGGAACGTCCTACCGTTTGGAATATCTTCGGCTCCGTGGCTATTCACACGAGTAACCAAGCCTATAGTCGCATATCTACATCATCGAGGTCTACGCAATGTCTTCTACTTGGACGACGGAATTCAGGTTCACCAAGATGCCAGTCAACTCAGACTATTGCTGAACTTCACGATCAAGTTGCTCACTCAACTAGGATGGCTGGTGAACCTTATCAAGTCAGAGTTGGAACCAAAACAAGATCTGCAAGGACAAAGCACAAAAGGGAGGTAACTCGTGGGTGAGTGTATTTTTACGTCCGCTGCGGGAACTTCATGGGATTCAAGTGTTCCACTTCCATTCACAAGGAAAGATAGATAAACGAAAGATCATGAGTCAGGATAAGTATAGAAATATCAATTTTACTTGAAAAATTACATTTTTTTAAACCATTCTAAATATCCATAAAGTCCTTGAAACAAGAATGTTTAGACTTAGGTTTGTTAATTATACAGTTTGGGAGATAACAGATTGCTGCTCACTCTATCAATCTCCGGTTTGTGCTGCCCTTGTATGATGTCAGCATAGGTCTCCAATGCCTCATGCTTGTTGTAAGGTGCAGCTAGAATGTCTATAAGATGGCCAGCATCTTTGACTTCAGTAATTGTGTGGTACTGTATGCTGGTGGATTTGGAGGGGCGATGGGGTATCCTTCGCTCGTCATGCCGAACACCCCACCAATGTGTGAAGCTCATTTCTGGTGTCCCCTGCCGTGATATTGCTACATATTGCTAAAATCATAAACCATACTGACTCCCTGGATGTTAGTCTGTCAATGATTGTGTTTGCCATAGATGACAGTTGTTCAATGTTTAGATGCTGGCTATGTCAAACCAAGAGATGTAAAAAATATGAATAATCTTGAACGCCATGGATGTTTTCTATGGATTACATGGTCCATGTTATGGATGTGGGATATGACAACATTTAACATACAGTCATCCCTCACAAAAACACTCTTTGCAATACAACTTTTTTTGTTAAACCGTGGGGATATCTATAACTCCCAACTTTCCCAGCAATCACATGTCTTCATGTCATCGGAAATAGCCTATAAGCAAATCCAAGGGTGTGCTCAGGTTAATGTTGTAAATTAGTGAAATATTTTATAGGCTGCCATGTTTCTAAACCACTTTCTGAAAACCTGCAAAGATGCGAGTTAGAATTGGTCCTTAGCAGCTCAACGTGTCGTAAGAGGCGACTATCAGCATAGGATGCCCAAGCTTGCTGACGTGGTTGATTCTTGTCATCGTATCTGATTGACATGTGTAGATTGTGTAGATTGATGTTCATGATGTCAGTCACTATCTAGTGACTTAACTGTTTACAGACCACCATCATGTAGCCTCCACAATTATACTGACTTCGGTCTATAACAGCAAACAAACAGAAACTATTTTCTAAAAGTGGTTCGCATTTGTGAGATACCCGAGCCTAGCACAGCTGACAGTAAGCAGCACTAATATTGCTGACTACAGCAAAAGACCCAAGTCACTCCATCACTGATTCTACACGTGATATTCTTGTAATGCAGGACAATATACTAGAGTCTGGCACTTTTGATGTACTGTTGCAGGCCGTGTGCTGTGATGTGTACGGGACGGAGTGTCTCAACGAGTTCACAGGCACTCTTTTGTCATGTATCAGAAAGGAGGTGAGGTTTACATCATTAAGTATACAAAACTAAATAAGTTAAGAAATATAAATGGTGTGCATTAGTTATATTACGGAATTGTTTTTCCTTCTATTTAAGCAGACACTTAGTTCTAGAGTCTAGTGTTGTCTTTGCTGATGACTAAATCTTGGGAAACATGTCATTTTGTGGAGTATCAAGTATGTTTTCTTGTCTGGTGTGTTGGTGTTTATAAATACAGTATGTACATTACTGTTTAGGCATAGCATTAGCTGTTTTCATGTCTGTGGTGACGTGTATGTTGTAGGTGTTTTCTGGTGACTCTGAAGAACTGATCACGGCAGCACTGTCTGCCCTTACAGCCATAGTGAAAACATTGTCTCAAGGAGTCACACAGGTTGGTAGAAAAATTATTTCATACAGTAGTGAAAAAATTGTTAGATAGCGTAGTGAAAACATTGTTACGTAAGGTAGTAAAAACATTGTTACAGGGAATCATGCATGTGGTGAAAACATTGTTACAGGGAATCATGCATGTGGTGAAAACAATGTTGCATGAGGTCGTGAAAACATTGTTACAGGGAATCATGCAGGTTGGTGAAAACATTGTTACAGGGAATCATGCATGTGGTGAAAACAATGTTGCATGAGGTCGTGAAAACATTGTTACAGGGAATCATGCAGGTTGGTGAAAACATTGTTACAGGGAATCATGCAGGTGGTGAAAACATTGTTACAGGGAATCATGCAGGTTGGTGAAAACATTGTTACAGGGAATCATGCATGTGGTGAAAACATTGTTACAGGGAATCATGCAGGTCGGTGAAAACATTGTTACAGGGAATCATGCAGGTTGGTGAAAACATTGTTACAGGGAATCATGCATGTGGTGAAAACAATGTTGCATGAGGTCGTGAAAACATTGTTACAGGGAATCATGCAGGTTGGTGAAAACATTGTTACAGGGAATCATGCAGGTTAGTGAAAACATTGTTACAGGGAATCATGCATGTGGTGAAAACATTGTTACAGGGAATCATGCATGTGGTGAAAACAATGTTGCATGAGGTCGTGAAAACAAAGGTTGGGGAAGTATTGTCACAGGGGTTCACACATGGTAAAGTCATTGTCACAGATAACAGTAAACACATTGTGACTGGAAATCACATGAAAACTTTGTGCAGGGGTCACAGGGTGTGTTACGCTTTCGTGAAATATTTGTGCATTTGCTCGTACAAGTTGTTGAAAGCATTGTCACATAAATCACACAGGTTAGTGAATACATTCTCACACAGGTAAGTGAAAGTTTCATAATAGGTTACTGAATGTGTACTGTTCAGAAATGTTGGAGTGTGTTTGATGACAAGTGTTTTCTGTTATGTTACAGAGGGTGTCCAGCACGTACCTGTCTGAGTTTCTGCAAGATATATTCAAAGGTATCTAGATTGATATTAACTGTTGTGTGAAAACATGTATTTGTATGAAAGCAGTTGCCTTAGATCAACATGGACGCATTGCCTAAAGTTCTGTTCAGTCATTGATGTTGAGACAGACACTTATTGCAGCAACCCCATGGTGTGCTGGACCAGACAGGTCACTGCTACACTGTGAGACAGACACTTATTGCAGCAACCCCATGGTGTGTTGGACCAGACAGGTCACTGCTATACTGTGTGTCGTAAGGAGCACTGAAACTGTTGGTCAGACCTTTTTTCTTCTTCTTTTTAATTTATTTCCATTTTTGTTCCCATTCTACAACATATATAATACAGTAATATGCATATACTCACTCATATACACACATGTACATATACATACATATGCATATACATTTATAGATTGAGAGATGTACAATTTTTTCCCTTCAAACTGAAAAGGATGGGTGGATTTTCAGACAGGCATTCTTAGTTCCTGCAATCGTGCACATAGCTACCACAGTCGTATGTATGAGAGTGTACATAATTATAGTCTCAATTGGAAGGTATAGTTTACAGATAGGTAATCTAAGTTCATTTAATTGTGCACATAGATAACGCATTCATATATAAAGATGTACATGTGTTTCCTTTCACTTGGAAGGTATGGGTTACAGGAAGACGGTTTAAGTTCTGTCAGTCATGCACTTAAATAATACAATCATAAATATTAAGATGTACATGTGTTTCCTTTTACTTGGAAGGTATGGGTTACAGGAAGACATTAGACATTCTGCCAGTTGGTCAAACTTAGTTCCACTATAGGATGTTCTGATTGTAAACCACTGTGTTTTCTGGCCCAGGGCAGTGCAGTAGCCTAATGGTTAAGCGTTCGCTCACCACAGTGAAGACTCGGGTTCAATTCCCCTAATGGGTACAATGTTTGAAGTCCATTTCTTGTGTCCCCTGCCATGATTTTGATGGAATAGTGCTAAAAGCGGAGTAAAACTAAACTCACTCACTCACTTTCCTGGCCCTCATTGATGATGAAAGGTCATCCCAGTCCTGCTGCTATGTTGTTGTGTGTGGTGGAAAACAACTAATGCAAAATTCAGTATGAAAACATACATAGTAGTATATTATGAAGAAAATGAACAGAACATCGTAGCAGTGTTCACAAGATACCTGACCAATGTCCTATATTTCAGAGTGTAAGCGGTACTTGCTGGAGCCTGATCTCCGCCTCATCTCGCCCACGTGTCAGCTGCTTCAGTCTGTGGCGCGGGCATCAGACCCCGCCTGCTGGACCGTGCTGAACACTGTCATCCCAACACTGCTGGAGCAGTATGCCACACACAACCAGGTACGAGCCTGGCACAGACGTCTCTTTGTTTCACTCATAATTTAGGTCAGAGTGATGTTTGATTTTCCAGATAATAGCTTGTTTGTTTCTGATTTCTTCTGACAATGAATGTTCTGACTTTTCAGAGCAATCAAAGAAAGGTAATCCTAGATAATCTGAAGGGTTTCCTGGAAGCCAGTGGAACATTCACATACACAGATGAAGGTAACCCGGCAACCTGCTGATTTACTGACTTACCCATTCACGTCCATGACACAAGATAGTTCCTCTGCAATATCCCAGAATATTTGGAACAGGGATGGTTGTTTTCATTTTACCATTATTAATGATGCATCCAAGGCGCATATTTCCGTGAGGCAAAGTGACACAAGTGTGACTTTCATTTTATTCTTCACAGTACAACTGGGAGCAGACTTGGTCCCCCTGCCAGTCCTGCATACTTGTTGTAAGAGCTGACGAGGCCCCCATTACCTTGTGCCTGTTCACATTCCCTGAAAAGAATTAAGATGTAACTCATCCCACACCAAGCAAACTGCCTTAAGATTAATATATATTTGATGTATATATTGAAAAAATCTGTTGAAATCTGTTATTAAACACTGTATGTGACCTACAGTGGAAGCCCTCTAAACCAGCATTAGTTGGGACCGGCAAAAAATGCCGGTATAGAGGGCATGCCGGTTTGGAGAACTTTTCTTAAATGAACTAGTTTCTACTGGGACCAATTTTTAGTGCCGATATTGAGAGCATGCCGGATTGGAGGGCTGCCGGTTTAGAGGGCATCCACTGTATATTTATTCAGTAACTGTTGAGTTATCTCCCTTTCAATGATCAGCTGAGAATCCAGTCCGCTGGAAGCCCTCTAAACCAGCATTGGTTGGGACCTGCAAAAAATGCCGGTATAGAGGGCATGCCGGTTTGGAGAACTTTTCTTAAATGAACTAGTTTCTACTGGGACCAAATTTTAGTGCCGATATTGAGAGCATGCCGGATTGGAGGGCTGCCGGTTTAGAGGGCATCCACTGTATATTTATTCAGTAACTGTTGAGTTATCTCCCTTTCAATGATCAGCTGAGAATCCAGTCCGCTGGAGTCTTAACTGGTACATATTTAGTAGAGGGGCAGGAAGAATACCAGGTCTTATACTGAAGTCAAATACTGTAAATCATGTACTTAATGTGTCACCAAAGTAATGTACATGCCGACCCCTGGCCTGACTTCCGTAAACACAGATCAGCAAACAATATCACCTAGATTGTAGAGATGAAATCCCATGATATGATATGGGACGATAGCAGTTTGAATGAATATTTCATTTGATATCTTTATGACTTAACTTCAACTGATTGACTGGTGATGAAAAACTTTCTTTTATCAAAAGTAGTGCAAATAACATGTATCAAGATGTATGGCAAAGATTGTATCAGTTAGTTTTGTTAAATGGAATCTTTTCAACGTCGTTGAGCAGGGTTGGGCTTGTAAGGTTAAGACTATTTGACAAGGATACTATGGTTGATTTTGTGCTGTACATGGTCTTAAACAACTGAATGGAAGGGTGCCTTGAATTTTATGACTGAAATTCTGTTTGAACCTTAGGTGTTCAATATTAACTGTGAGTTAAAGATTAACATTACATCTACATTATCTCAGCCATGACAAGTGAATATTAATACTTTGATGGTTATGTCCAGTGTGTTTCTGTCCCAGCACCCAGCCCAGTAATGGAGTACAAGGCACCTGTAGTTGAAGTGTTGGCTGCAGCTGTTGAGGATTCGTCCCCATCGCTGAGGTTGTCAGCAGTGCAGATGCAGAGGATGCTGCTGTCCCTGTCGGGAGTGCTGGTTGGTGACGAGGTGGGGCAGTTGGGACAACAGGTGGTCAAACACCTCTTGTCTGACTCGGACACCAGTGTCAGGTGAGTCAAGTTGGGTTTCTGTGCAGTATTCAGCATTCAGTGACCAAGGAAGATCCAGGTTAGAATTGGTCTCCAGCAACCCATGATTGTCATAAGATCGGGATGGGGTGGTCTCCAGCAACCCATGATTGTCATAAGATCGGGATGGGATGGTCTCCAGCAACCCATGATTGTCATAAGATCGGGATGGGGTGGTCTCCAGCAACCCATGATTGTCATAAGATCGGGATGGGGTGGTCTCCAGCAACCCATGATTGTCATAAGATCAGGATGGGGTGGTCTCCAGCAACCCATGATTGTCATAAGATGGGGATGGGGTGGTCTCCAGCAACCCATGATTGTCATAAGATCGGGATGGGATGGTCTCCAGCAACCCATGATTGTCATAAGATCGGGATGGGTGGTCTCCAGCAACCCATGATTGTCATAAGATCGGGATGGGGGTCTCCAGCAACCCATGATTGTCATAAGATTGGGATGGGATGGTCTCCAGCAACCCATGATTGTCATAAGATCGGGATGGGGGTCTCCAGCAACCCATGATTGTCATAAGATCGGGATGGGGGTCTCCAGCAACCCATGATTGTCATAAGATCAGGATGGGATGGTCTCCAGCAACCCATGATTGTCATAAGATCAGGATGGGGGGTCTCCAGCAACCCATGATTGTCATAAGATCAGGATGGGGTGGACTCCAGCAACCCATGATTGTCATAAGATCGGGATGGGATGGTCTCCAGCAACCCATGATTGTCATAAGATCGGGATGGGATGGTCTCCAGCAACTCATGATTGTCATAAGATCGGGAGGTGGTGGTCTCCAGCAACCCATGATTGTCATAAGATCGGGATGGGGGTCTCCAGCAACCCATGATTGTCATAAGATCGATGGGTGGTGGTCTCCAGCAACCCATGATTGTCATAAGATCGGGTGTGGGATGGTCTCCAGCAACCCATGATTGTCATAAGATCGGGATGGGGTGGTCTCCAGCAACCCATGATTGTCATAAGATCGGGATGGGATGATCTCCAGCAACCCATGATTGTCATAAGATCGGGATGGGTGGTCTCCAGCAACCCATGATTGTCATAAGATCGGGATGGGGGTCTCCAGCAACCCATGATTATCATAAGATCGGGATGGGATGGTCTCCAGCAACCCATGATTGTCATAAGATCGGGATGGGGGTCTCCAGCAACCCATGATTGTCATAAGATCGGGATGGGGGTCTCCAGCAACCCATGATTGTCATAAGATGGGATGGGGTCTCCAGCAACCCATGATTGTCATAAGATGGGGATGGGGTGGTCTCCAGCAACCCATGATTGTCATAAGATCGGGATGGGGTGGTCTCCAGCAACCCATGATTGTCATAAGATCGGGATGGGGGTCTCCAGCAACCCATGATTGTCATAAGATCGGGATGGGATGGTCTCCAGCAACCCATGATTGTCATAAGATCGGGATGGGGTGGTCTCCAGCAACCCATGATTGTCATAAGATCGATGGGGGGTCTCCAGCAACCCATGATTGTCATAAGATCAGGATGGGGGGTCTCCAGCAACCCATGATTGTCATAAGATCGGGATGGTGTGGTCTCCAGCAACCCATGATTGTCATAAGATCGGGATGGGATGGTCTCCAGCAACCCATGATTGTCATAAGATCGGGATGGGGTGGTCTCCAGCAACCCATGATTGTCATAAGATCAGGATGGGGTGGACTCCAGCAACCCATGCTTGTCATAACATCGGGACGGGGTGGTCAGGTTCACTCACTGAATGTCATCTTGTCCCAGTTGCATAGATCAAAGTTCATGCTGTGGATCACTGGATTGTCTGGTCCAGACTCGATTGTTTACAGGCTGCTGTCCTACAGTTGGAATATTGCTGTCTGTGGCATAAAGCAACAAACAGTATATGTGTCACCTGCGTGTTTATGTTTTCCTGAACTTCCAGGACTTCCGAAGATACAAAATTCTAAGTGGCCAGTCGAGGTTTAAAATCACATTAACTCACTCACTGAAGGAGCTTGTATTTATACAAAAGTACTTCTTTCTCAGTTATTTCCTTTTTGAAGTAATTATGCATGCAACTCTGGGTTACAGAGTTCAGAGTTGCAGTTTTAAAGTATCCGAGTCATTGATGACACATACGAGCATATATATTCATTTGTCAGTGTCATTATTTTAATGGTTATTCAAAAGTGATTGTACGCTATGTCCTGTTTCAGAGATCAATGTGTCACTGCTCTTCAGGCCATCACTTGTCTCAATGTGGAAGTCATGAAAAATATCATCTTGCCCCAAATAGTCTCACATTTGCACAATGGTAAGTAACATTTTGAGCACTATGTTAACCCAATTTCAACCTTCTAAAACATTTATTAATAAAATGTGTGTTTATAAAATATATGGTTTTGAAACACAAACAACTCATATGGTATACTCAGGGCTTTAAACCATGGTTTCTTCTTTCTTCATAGGTGAATTTACCCGTGAAGGTCCGGGTTAGAATGAACCTTCAGTAACCCATGCTTGTCGTAAGAGGTAACTAACGGGATTCGGTGGTCAGGTTCACCGGCTTGGTTGACACATGTCATCGGTTGCCAATTGAGCAGATCGATGATCATGCTGTTGATCACTGGATTGTCTTGTCCAGACTCGATTATTTACAGACCGCCGCCATATAGCTGGAATATTGCTGAGTGTGGCATAAAACTAAACTCACTCACTCACTCATAAGTGAATTCTTAGCTGAATTTACATTTATTGCATGATGAAGCATTTTTGTGTTTATCAATAATTAGACCAAATTGTAGATCGATGAAAAGTGTGAACACCGCTTTTTATGTTCATACCTTCATAAATCTGTCAATTCAGTTGAAGTCATTTCATACCTATCATCTTGTTAAGGAGTAGTGTGAGACAAGGCCACACCAAGGACCAGTGTTAGTATGGAATGATAGTCCTCACACTTCAGTTGCCCTTGCAGAACCCATGGAGACTAATGCACCGTGTAGTTTTGAACCAACAAAGGAGTACCTTCTGACAACACTGACGTCGCTAGCCACACACATCGGTGTCGTCGAGATCGTTGCCAGGGAGATCCTAGGCTTCCTCACTAGTCAGACAGGTGAGACATTTCAGTTAATTTCCTCAAGATGGCCCTGTGACAATTGTCTGAGAACAGACACTTCTATTAAGCACGCCTGTGGGTTCAAATCCCATTTGTATGTTTAGTCTTGGTTTGTCATTACCATACCTGTACTTGTGGTTGTTTACCAAACTGGCATGCTTCACTTCAGGTTTCCTCACATTCCCTGTTTAGGTACTACATCTTTCCTTATCCTGACTCATGCTTATTTGCTTTCTCATCCTCTCTTCCGAACGGTCAAGTGGAAACTTGAATCCCTTCAATTCCCTTGAAGCGAACGTACAATCACTCACCCTGAATTACCTCCCTTTTTGTTCATAGGTTCATGGAGATGCCTATGAAATCAGAAAAAAAGCCACCATTTCTTTTGTTCTGTAGAACACAAGCTGTACTCCTGACTGTGTATGTTGCGCTTTAATTGGAATAAATAGATCTACCATCCAACAACTGTAAACCAACAAATAAGAGCCTGTGATTTTGTGTGATTTCACGCTATGTATTGAGTAGGTTTCTTCGTTAGTCATTTCTAAGTACATGTTCGCTCTTTCACCAAAATATCAAATGACTATGACTTTCTTCTCAACTTCCTTCCCAACTAAACTTACAAATCAAGATATGACATTGCCTGTTTAGGCAATATATTTTATAGGTTAATGGATAGTCCTGTGAAGTGGTGCGGTGGGGTAGCCTAGTGGGTAAAGCGTTGGCTCGTCACGCCGAAGACCCGGGTTCGAATCCCTACATGGGTACAATGTGTGAAGCCCATTTCTGGTGTCACCCGCCGCGATGTTGCTGGAATATTGCTAAAAGCGGCATAAAACCAAAACTCAGTCAGTCAGTCAGTCCTGTGAAGTATGGAAAGAAGGACATTTCTGTAGAACACAAGCTGTACGCATAACAGTGTATGTAGACATAACTTTCTGGATAACAAAACCAAAATCCAATTAATTGAAACAAAACAGTCCATCTGTTTCACTTGTAATATTCCTTGTGGATGATTGGTGGCAGAATCTCCAGTTACCAAGGTTACCGGTGTGTGAAATGGTCACAGTATGTTATTGATCTGTCTTTGTGACCTACACAGATAACAGAGGTCATTTCATACATGCCCATACATCGCTATATAAGTGCAATAATCTGAATTGAGACTTAAACCCCATAGGTTTGATTATTTTTGCAGACAACCTGTCTCTAGTGTCTGCCAAGTGTCTGAGTACACTGGCACAAGAACATCGATCCCACCAGGAGATTGTGGCCTATGTGTATGAGACTCTGCTGCAGCAGGTGCTCTTGGTGCTGCTGAAAGGTTCAAGCAATCACGGAGCAGACGGTCAGGGAGCAGACGGTTCAGTTGGAGATAGTCGGGGAGAGTGTGGAGGAGTCAGCGATGAGGTTGTGACAGAGCTTGCCAAAGTCTTTAGATACACAGCTGTCTACCTTGACAGAAGGTGAGCGTTTAAGCTTGCACCAGAGGGTAGTTTACAGCAAATACTGGCCCCTATAGTGATGCATTTTGTTGCAAAAAGTTTATATATTGACAGAGTGATTGTGATACACTCTAACTTATGATACATGTTTGTTGTTCAACCAATAACTTGAACACAAATGGATTGTTTTCAAATTTTGATACCCTCCTATATTCTATCAAGTTTTATAATGATATTTCAGTTTATCAAGGATTATCACAATTTACATCCCCTCAACTGAAGGAATGTTTCTCTTGTGGTGTCAATGAGTACTGTTGTTCAGCTGCAGTATGGAGTTGTGGGTATTAGTGATTCTTGAAGAGACATGAGAACACCTTTATAAATACTTCTACTACAGTTCTCAATGCTTTCACTATATATACATGTTGACATTTGACCTCACCGTAGGATACTGTTTGTGTACTGAATTAAGTGATGCATGCAGTGAATTGGTGCACTGCTACTGCATTGTACTCAACCCAACAAAAGTACTAGAATCTGTACTTTCTAAGAAAGTGTAGTCTCAAATATAACATATGTTGCGTTGTTCTGTGTTGTACTGCTTGTGGGCAGGGGGGTAGACACCTGTGATGATCCGGGTTACAGTTTGTCTTCAACAACCATTACTTGTTGTAAAAAGCGACTAATGGGATCAGGTGGTTAGGCTCTCTGACTTTGTTGACACACATCTTCATATCCCATTTGCTTAGATCGATGCTCATTATGTTGATCACTGGATTGCGACCATATGGTTGGAATATTCCTGAATGTGACCTTAAACAAAAAACAAACAAACAAAAAACAGTAGGGTAGCCTAGGGTCAAAGCGATTGCCTGTCACGTCGAAGACCCGGATTCGATTCCCCATATTTGTTCAATGTGCAAAGCCCATTTCTGGTGTCCCCCCATCGTGATATTGCTGGAATATTGCCAAATGAGGAATAAAACTAAGCTCACTAACTTCTACTGTGTTGTGTGTTGAAGGAAAGCAGAGGAGCTGATGCAGACTGTGTGTGAACTGTTGGTCCGGGGCAACATGGCCGTGGTACCAGGAGCAGACGTCAAGTTAGACAGCTTCAAACCTCTGCAGGTCAGGTGATGTTTGTGTATAAAGACTTATGTAGGAGACATCAGGAACAAAACAATAAATATTGGAAAGACAACTCAAACTTTCATTTGTATAATTCTTGAGTGAGTGTAATGTGTATCCTACTTTACTCCTGCCCAGATAGCATTCAGACGTTGTCCCAAATGTTGGGCCAACATCCAAATGCTATCTGGGTGAATGTTACTTTCTGATTAGCCAACACTTATTTTTTTCCAGAAAATTTGTTATGAATCAGTTCCTCTGGACAAGTCATAAAACCGAGGATTCCTGACCCATAACAGAACCTCAAATCGCAATAGTTTGATTCTTTTGCATTTTATGCAATTAATATTTGCAATATGTTTGGACACTTATTATCAGCTATAACAATGTCTCTCTGTTAAACCTGAACAACTTGTTTCCAGCACACCTCTCCCTCAAGTCAGACTCGGCTGGTGGCTGTACTCACGGCAGTGTTGTGCTCGTTACCCAGGGAGGTAGGGAGTCTTACAACCTCACATTCCCTGTCTCAATATGCAGTCCCATCACGCTCCTCTCTCCTACCCAGAATTCCATACTGCCAGTATAGTACATCTGCAACAGGCAGCCGCCATGTGACACACTCCATTCAACACATTGTACATAGTTTTCATCTTTTTCATTTTTTATGGATTTACACATTATTGTGATGTCTTGGTAAGATTTTTGAAAGTGCATGTCTACAATGTCTGTTGCCTCATTGAGACAATTCAGCTGCAACGTCAGTCTGTTGCCTCGTATAGATGATATCACACCACCCCAGTATATTCAACTACTGATTTGTGTGATGCAGATGCAGATCCCGGATGTGATGCTGCTGCTTCAGTCCCTACTGCAGCTGAGTCGAAAATCTTCACACAGCTTCACGCGGAACTCCGCAACCAAATGTTGTGCTGGCCTGGTCAATAAACTTCCAGCAGGTCTGAATACTTGGTTAATCATCACCATCAGCAGGCTTCATCACCATGTCAAATATCAGCACTTTTGATAAACATAACATAATATATTATTTTCCTCTTAGTTTTCTTGTTTTATTGATGAGCCAAATTGTTGGTAAAAATAGTCAACATTCCAGCCCTGCCATTGTTTCTCATCACATAACAAAGGAGAGGTTACACTTAAAATTGCCCTCCATTGTGGAATAATCATTGGAAGTAGACATTTAATGTTTAGTGTGATGTGACCTTGACCTTGGTTTTGTGATATAGTTGATAGGGAATGTCGGTGGTTTGATCACCAAGCCTCATCAAACCATACCACAAGATGTTAAGAGATCAGGATCCGGTTGTATCATTGCTTCATTAACTAATGTCAACATTAAACCCTAATGATACATTAAATCCTTAATGCATCATTAGTTAATGGCATCATTAAAAACGGTTGTATCAAACACTTATTAGCGTATCATTATCTAATGACGTCCTAATGTAAATATTTTCATTAAATCCGGGGATTCCCCTATTTTTTTCCCACAATTCCGCGCTGTAAACATGTAAGTGTTACTCTCGGTCGTCTGTCAAAATGGCATCTTTAGGGCTAAACCCCTCGAACAAAACAAACATTTCGACTGCTGTGAAGAAACACGCCTAAATAATTCTGAAGAGTCACCGATAAACCTAGAATCAGTTGGGATGTTTTGGAAAATACACGAGCACGATCGCCGAAGTGAGCTTGACGCCATATTGATAGTGTTTACAAAATCAAGTTTCGCTAAGGCCAGTCATAGGGCGCCTATTACATCATGTATATTTCATATTCAGTTGTGACAAATGCATCGCTGACTTCCTCATACATTTTAGAATCAAATTCCAAATGGTCTTTGTCACTAAAACCAAGTGTCTACTTAAAAAGCGAAACATATTGGGTGTGAAAACGGACGTTGTGCTCATTACACACCGGCTTGCTAGAAATATAAACAAAGCAAAAATCAGATTTTATACTGTGCAGCATTTTCTAATTTTTTAGACATCAGTTTGTCTACTCAGTAGCATGCATGAGCTCAGTATTTTTAGAAAATGCACGCAAAGAGTATCGTGAGCAAGAACTAGAAAACTTAAAACAGATACAATACTGAAATTTGATATATTCATACTGAAAGTTCTGTGCAGCGTGGACGCCATGTGAGACGCAAAATCATGGAGAAATCGACATAGGCAATTATCGGCATTTCTGACATTTTCAATGAAAACAATAAAAACAAACAACCATACACAGATAGTCAGAATGTTTCCGATTACTTACATCTTACATTTATGGACAAAGGTTCCTCAAGCAAAATCGTGGGCACTCATATCCACGGGCCGCCATTTCATGAGAAATCGGTCATCGGTAGTGATGTCATACATCAACATTGTTGGACATATGTGGCAATTTCTTTGAGGTGAAGGTCGGTTGAATAAGAGTAAACACAATCACACTGTCCTGCGGATTACACTTGTATTCTTAATGTATACTTTGCGTATCGTTCACATATGGTTTCATGAAACTAATTTCATTATCAACATTTAGTATTTTAAACTAAGTAAACTGACTTAATAAATTAAAATGATTTATTTATTTCATGAAATGTATATATGCACACGTTTTAAAGGATATGTCTTGTTCATTTAATTTGTTTATGTTGTGTTATAGACAAAACAATGGCATTATAATCATTGGCTAGGTGCTGCTTGTCACAAATGTTTTGAGTATCATTGTTTTCGATAAATTCTGTGAACAAAACATCACTTAAGATATTGTGTCCTTATTCACAGCAAATTCTCGCTAAGTGATCTGAGTTACAATGACTTAGTATTAAGCATACCGGAGTGAGCCCCCTCATCTTTAAAAGCGTGGACCTTTATGTAGCCATTTGACGCCATAGGGAAAATCCATTTTCAACACATATTGCGAGTCACTTTTAAGATTGAGTGTATAACGTTATACATAAGCACACAAACTAATTAAATACATACCTATGTCATTCAGGTATCAGGCAGAATCTTGTTCACTCACACTTTCCTGTGAAGATCCCAAATTGAAAATATAGTAGCACAGTACTTTTATCAGTGCACGATAAAAAGCAGAGAAATTTATTGTTTTTAACGAAAACAAAATTAGGCTGTAACATTTAGCAATGTCTACTTTTCAAACTGAGTTTATACCATGAGATACTTACATTTAATACTCTACATTTCTGTGTAATTTTATAGCTGTAGGTAGATTCAGTGCGGCGCAAACAAAATTCTGGCGCAATGTTCACTTTTCCAGGACGTTTAATGACGCTCTAATGATACCCCAGGACCTTCATTAAGTTAATGACGCACTAATGACAACAGAGCATCATTAAAACGTTAGTACAACAGAATTTAATGATACATTAGTTAATGAACGTTTAATGGCACGTTAATGCTTCATTAAAGTTTGATACAACCGGGTCCAGATTATTACCCTTCGTGGCATTAAGGGATAATATAAGGGCTGATAAATATACTGTATCCAAGTGGGTTATTCATTTCATGCTGCATCATTGGTATCTAAGTTTGTTAGAACTATAAAACCTGCTCCAGCAGACGCACAAACATGCACAACATTACACCCCATTTCACCACTCCATTTTTTATACCACGTTAACTTTGGTGTTTGCAACAGAATGATATGGAGGGAAGACTGAGGTTTCTGTTAGCTGAAGTAAAGTACATGACAACAGACTGCGTGTTTGTAAAGAATGATTTGAAGGGAGTTTCAACAATCAACTTCATTTTTCTGTACCTTTTCTTGGTTTTCACTTCACTGGGGTCCTCTCATGGCTTCAGAGATGGAGGAAGATATTGTTGTACATGCTAAGAGAAGTTGATACCTCTAGAACAGATCTGTGTCCAGATTATTTGTGAAAGTTTATAAACATACATGTATGGATATAATCTTACAGAGTTTAAAATCATCACACAGGAAATATTTCACTTCGGATAACATCTCCCCATGCATTTGATTTCCCTAATATGAGTATGCATCATGATGTTTTTGTAGATGACAGCCTTGAGTCTTTCATAAAGGAGACCAAAGAGGTACTAACCGGTGACCTTGAACTCTCACCTCCCAATCCAAGTCGTGAAAAAGCCCTGATTATTTGGATTTGGCTTTCTAAGGCTCTTGTACTGCAAGGACATGCTGAGGCCAACATCTTCATCCAGAAGGTATGTTTGTCAATAAGATGGACAAAACCAGTGGGTTTTGGTGGCTGAGTTGTCAAAGGAGACATCGCTGATCTCAAAATCATGTCCCTTACCTCTACCAGGATCTGCTGATCCTTGGTCTAATTGTGATTGAACAGCTGTTATTCCTATACAATGGGTAAAATATTGTTCAAAGTGGCATTAAAGGGCCACTGATCCAGAGCAATTTCCGTGAACTGGTTGTTGCTGTTGTTATTGTTTTTCTCCCGTAAGTGCCCGGATGATATCCCAGAATTCATGACTGGTTCGTTACCTCTGTTGCGCCACCCTCATGCGCAATTGATAATATAAGTATAGACTGATCAACAAAGATTAAATCTTTTGTACTCGATAATCTTGATTTTGTTGTAAAATTATGTAGACTGTGATGAATAATTTGGTTTCTTATAAAACAAAATATTCTCTTTGATAAAAATGCTGATTTTGATGTAATATTTTGATTTCATAGTAATGTTGACTTTATAAAAATGTTAACGTAAATGGATGTAGAATTTGATTTAAGAAATAGTTTGACCTTGAATTTTGTGAGAAGCCTGATATAATAGCATTGTTTTGAAGTAAGGCTAACTAAGTACATGGGGAGTCTTGGGGAGAGTAGTGAGCTTGGGTTCACTTCTAGTCAATCTGAATGTTGTATTAAATGGCATTATTTTGATAACAAATGAAAACATTTTAAGTTTAACAATCTGCCAGTGGTAAAAAATGTTAGGACTGAAATAATGAAGTCAATGTAAGTCTTTATATTTTGTCTTATATTCCTAATTAGTTTATTATCATATTTGTATGCATTTTGAAACTTAATAAAATGCACACGATCTGCTTATACTTCGTGAATTTATAACATGACTGTATATTCGCCAACACGAATATACAGTCACACACATATTTCACACACACGCCCTGAGTGCGACCTAGTGTATGTTGTCTGTCTCATTACACTTCACAGCAAAAAAAATGATCCTTTTGAATGCCATAACAAATAAATTAAAACAAAATGCAAATGTTAGAATTAAAACAGACTAAAGTTATAGCAACAATATCAGGCTATTACCTTGTTTGGGGATGTATCCATCAATATCCACATAAAGGAATGAGATGCCATTCATCTGAGGCTGACAAAGAATCCTGTTCCATGTCATGTGTCTTTTAACAATCTAATATGCGAAAAAGTGATCTATCGTTTCAGGTTTTTCACATTGGTGTATGCCATTGGTCACCCAAGATTGCACACCTGGCAACTAATTGCATGATGTCTGCCATTCTTAAGGATAAAAGCAATTAATCTATTCCTCTTGCTGCACTTCCATGCGCATATTACATAAGATGTAATACATTTGCCACATCAGACCTCAATTAAAAATGATGAGTATTTACTCCAGACACAAGAAATGCCAAATGGGAACCTTTGTTGGGTAATCTGAGTGGTGTTATCACTAATTATACCTGTTATAAATTCATTAACTGACCATCAAGTGAATGATGACAAATAACATTTGTAGGTTTACCACCAAACAAGGGTTACAGCAAGAGAGTAGTTATCGCTGTATTGCATGCAAGTTTGATTGTCTGAAAAAACAACAACTTATGGGCCGACACTGTTTTGAGGATACGGACGGATCAAACTTCATTGTTACATAAGAAATATATATATAAGCATTTGCTGTGTACTTAGTTAAAAATTGTATATACCTATGTACCTTAGTAAAATTTCAGATTTATTTTAGCAATGGCAAAGTGGGGTTGTTTAGTTTATGGATTCAAATATTTCAAATGTGTGTTTTTGATATCATAGTATACATAATAGACATCATATTTTTACATGATTAAATATCGAGGTAAAAAACGCAGAAATAGGATCAACTTGGATCAGTCGCTATACCATCCAAATTTTTAAACTTATCCTATCTCACGGTATGCACTTCTCTCTCTTGATTCGACACTGAGTAGAACGATGTAAACTTTTCCCCTAGGCCTCTCTTGTCCATCCGCCCAAGCACTCCATGCTACCCTCACTATAAGACAGCTTCCTGGCTCTCATGCAAAGCATGCGGCATGCACCACTAGCTGCCCACGTGACTATCTCCAAATCATCATTCTCTTTCTTGTCACACACGAGTGTGGACGTATGTTACTTTGCTCAACGTTTTCAACTTAGTCTACAACATGGGGAAAGTTGACCAGCGAAAGAAGAGCCAAGGAGTTCAAGAGAACTCAGCACAAGCATAGGAGTTGCGTGCATGCGTAACAGGCCTCCCTTGTGCATCGCTATCTACGGTCGTTTCCAGTCTACACAGTTCTTGCTGTTCGCACTGTCTAGACACAGGGTATCTGCGTCCCGCCGTCCGACCGTTGGATAAGAGATAGGATAAGTTTAAAAATTTGAAAATTTTAGTATAAATTGTATGTTGATATACATATCCTATCTCACGCGACCTATTCCCGCCCATCCTCCCCGCTATGCAGATTCTCCAAGATGGATATTATCCAGTGGCTCCAAGAATGAGAATGATGATTCGGAGATAGTCACGTGGGCAGCTAGTGGTGCATGCCGCATGCTTTGCATGAGAGCCAGGAAGCTGTCTTATAGTGAGGGTAGCATGGAGTGCTTGGGCGGATGGACAAGAGAGGCCTAGGGAAAAAATTTACATCGTTCCACTCAGTGTCGAATCAAGAGAGAGAAGTGCATACCGTGAGATAGGATAAGTATATAAATATACAATTTATATTAAAATTTTAAAACATCTGAAAATCTTAAATAGCCTACACTGCTGGGATACTTTATTACAATCAGACAAGAACTGTAGGGGATATTTTCAAATAATGGCAACTGATGGGCATCCACCCTTCCTAATGTCCCGCTGATTAGGTTGAAGAAATTCTGCTAGGGTGGACAGTAGCCCGGTCCCCGTGTCCGTCACGGTCGAGGGAGCAGGGGCTGACCAGTTTGCAGCTAGGTTTCGTAATTAGACTGTTGTCTGGAAACAATAATCGCTCTGGATCAGTGGCCCATTAAACCTAACTCACTCATTGTTTTCAGCTGATATCTCTCCTGGACGATCCTGACCTTGGTTTGTCCGCTGCTAACGGATTCCTGACGATTGTGTCTGAGCATGAAGATGTGATGACCAGCGAGATGTCGGCCATTGTCCAGCTATTCTACAGACAGAAGCTGTTTATTCAGAATGTATCTGTGCTTACTGACAAGTTCCAGTCGGCTGGTAAAGGTGACGGACGGAGTATAAAATGAACGTACATGCCATGTCTATTTTTCAGACTGTGGTATCCTAACAAGCACTAGAAACAAGGGACAGACGGGGCTGACAGTGATACTCATGGTCAAGTGTGGCTAGTAGTGCTGATTGTGGGTTTGAATCCTGGAGTTTCTCTGATTATCATACCTGGCCTCCAGCACAACACCCATGCTTTGGGGTTTCTCCAAAGTTGAATAGATCTCAAACATCTGTCAAATAAAGGATTTGGGTTGTGAGGTTTCTCCAAAGTTGAATAGATCTCAAATATCTGTCAAATAAAGGATTTGGGTTGTCAGGTTTCTCCAAAGTTGAATAGATCTCAAACATCTGTCACATAAAAGATTTGGGTTGTCAGGTTTCTCCAAAGTTGAATAGATCTCAAATATCTCTCAAATAAAGGATTTGGGTTGTCAGGTTTCTCCAAAGTTGAATAGATCTCAAATATCTGTCAAATAAAAGATTAGGGTTGTCAGGTTTCTCCAAAGTTGAATAGATCTCAAATATCTGTCAAATAAAGGATTTGGGTTGTCGGGTTTCTCCAAAGTTGAATAGATCTCAAATATCTTTCAAATAAAGGATTTGGGTTGTCAGGTTTCTCCAAAGTTGAATAGATCTCAAACATCTGTCAAATAAAAGATTTGGGTTGTCAGGTTTCTCCAAAGTTGAATAGATCTCAAATATCTGTCAAATAAAGGATTTGGGTTGTCAGGTTTCTCCAAAGTTGAATAGATCTCAAATATCTGTCAAATAAAAGATTAGGGTTGTCAGGTTTCTCCAAAGTTGAATAGATCTCAAATATCTTTCAAATAAAGGATTAGGGTTGTCGGGTTTCTCCAAAGTTGAATAGATCCCAAACATCTGTCAAATAAAGGATTTGGTTGTCAGGTTTCTCCAAAGTTGAATAGATCTCAAATATCTGTCAAATAAAGGGTTTGGGTTGTCAGGTTTCTCCAAAGTTGAATAGATCTCAAATATCTGTCAAATAAAAGATTTGGGTTGTCAGGTTTCTCTAAAGTTGGATAGATCTCAAATATCTTTCAAATAAAGGATTAGGGTTGTCGGGTTTCTCCAAAGTTGAATAGATCTCAAATATCTGTCAAATAAAAGATTTGGGTTGTCAGGTTTCTCCAAAGTTGAATAGATCCCAAACATCTGTCAAATAAAGGATTTGGTTGTCAGGTTTCTCCAAAGTTGAATAGATCTCAAATATCTTTCAAATAAAAGATTAGGGTTGTCAGGTTTCTCTAAAGTTGAATAGATCTCAAATATCTGTCAAATAAAAGATTAGGGTTGTCAGGTTTCTCCAAAGTTGAATAGATCTCAAATATCTGTCAAATAAAAGATTTGGGTTGTCAGGTTTCTCCAAAGTTGAATAGATCTCAAATATCTGTCAAATAAAAGATTTGGGTTGTCAGGTTTCTCCAAAGTTGAATAGATCTCAAATATCTGTCAAATAAAAGATTAGGGTTGTCAGGTTTCTCCAAAGTTGAATAGATCTCAAACATCTGTCAAATAAAAGATTTGGGTTGTCAGGTTTCTCCAAAGTTGAATAGATCTCAAATATCTTTCAAATAAAGGATTTGGGTTGTCAGGTTTCTCCAAAGTTGAATAGATCTCAAACATCTGTCAAATAAAAGATTAGGGTTGTCAGGTTTCTCCAAAGTTGAATAGATCTCAAATATCTTTCAAATAAAGGATTTGGGTTGTCAGGTTTCTCCAAAGTTGAATAGATCTCAAACATCTGTCAAATAAAAGATTTGGGTTGTCAGGTTTCTCCAAAGTTGAATAGATCTCAAACATCTGTCAAATAAAGGATTTGGGTTGTCAGGTTTCTCCAAAGTTGAATAGATCTCAAACATCTGTCAAATAAAGGATTTGGGTTGTCAGGTGACTTGGTCAGGTGTCATCATACCCTGACAATAGATTACTTCCCACAAGATCAAACCTGGATTGTCTGGCCCAGGCCACCCTCATATGACCTGAATATTGCTAGGAGCAGCACTAACACAGAACAATTTTGGGGTAGTGCGTCACCCTAGTTGTTAATTTGTCTTCTCATATCACATGAGACCAGTTTCGATTCCCCACATGGTTGTAATGTACAAGGCCTATTTCTGGTGTCCTTCTGATGTGAGAATACTGCGGCAAGAAGTTACTGCCCTCCTTCAGAATATGGGTACATGTAGAAGCTGTTTTTGTTGACAATGAGAGTAACTCACTATGTTTGTACAGATGCGAAGCCCTGTTACCTGATGGCCATTTCCCACCTGCTGAGATTCCTGCCGAAACAGGTGCTGCTTGCCGAGGTCAAGACTGTGAGTGGACTAGTACTTCTCCCTTAAAGTAAACCATTAAGACTGACATATTATCATCTATTTGGCATTATGATGAAAGCTGTTACTGTACAGCGAAGACCAGCATCAATAAGTGTTTAATTTTAACTTACCTTACCATAGGTCTTATGCATATTACCTCAAGCTCCGCTTAAAAGAGATCAGACAGTCGTTGATTCGCCATTCCCTAGAATGGCTGCCTCGTGTATCGACGAGTGTACAGGAACAGAAGTGACGTGATCTCCCCTCGGTCTATCCAAAAATCACTGACACAACCTCCTAATTATAAGTAGGCGTTAAGAAGACAGATCCTGGGATTGTTCTTAGGATTGTATCTTATTTTAGATAATATTATTATTAATATGATATATTGAAAATTTCAAATATAACATTTTTTGCTTTTTAGAAAAAAGTACTATGTCCCCTTTCTTTATTTTAATGGCTTCAAATCCAAATAGTTTGTCATGTATTTAGTTAACATCTTCAAATCTCCTGATGTAGTTGATGCCAATAATGATGCAGTCCTTGTCATGTGTGGAGACTGACCTCCTGACCTCAACCTTGACCAAGGTCACTGAGCTGACAAGTGATGCCCCTGAAATCATCAGTAAATATATCGACACCCTGGTGCCTCAGCTTCTCAAACTGACAACAACTTCAGCTTCAATGGTAAGTCTGACAGGTTTATGTGCTAAGTGACTGTGTCTAGATACGGTAAAAAATAACTGTTTTGTCGTTTTACTTATGGGCTAGATATTCCATCATGGAGTGTTTGCTAAGTGTGAATTGGAAGAATATACAGTGCACTCTATCAAACTCGGACTCTGTCTTTCTCGGATTGCTGTATAAACAGGACTGAACTTCCAGTCCCGACGTAATCCTTCTTTGTTGTCATAATGGAAAAGTTCTGTATCTCAGACTCTCATTATTTTGGATTTTGGACCAAAGTGTCGGCCCGAAAAGGTAGTTACACGTATAAACATTGCTTTATAATCCAGACTGAGCAGGAAGTCAACTTGGCCAATAAACCTTGAATAAACAATCCGTTGATTGGTTTGTGTATTTTGTGTTATTACTGAACAGGAAGTCCGCTTGGCCAAGACCGCTTGGTCTAGCGATGAACGCTTATTTACCTTTGATGCGATGAACACTAATTTGTAAACTATAACTGAGATGATCATGTCAACTCAGTGTCAATGTCACTATGCATTTAAGAGGCCTTCAGACACAGTGTGATATCAAATCAGGTCAAACTGTCTGAGCGACCACGAAAACGCCCACGTACTGAATTGTCACTTGTAACCAAGATAAATCTAATCAATGATTCTGAAGCTATTCCAAAGATTAAATATTGTCATGGATATTTTATGCACCATCCTGTTTCTAAGCATCATGGCATCTAAATCCTATAATGTGTATTACCAACTGGATATTTGTGTTCTTGAATGGTTTTATTACACCAAAACTTACATTGTTGAATACTAGTGGTAAAGAAGTTCAGGCCATTATGTTCAGAAAGCCGATATGTGATTTCCTCTAGCACCCATACAACCATTATGTTCAGAAAGCTGATATGTGATTTTCTCTAGCACCCATACATCCATTATGTTAAGAAAGCTGATATGTGATTTTCTCTAGCACCCGTACATCCATTATGTTCAGAAAGCCGATATGTGATTTCCTCTAGCACCCATACATCCATTAGTTTGAGTTGTGTGGGCAAAGTTCACTCAAGGTTTACCTGTCGTGATATGTGAAGTGTCCTCAGATCTTCATGGTGTCGTATTGAAGTAAAAGATCAGAATTTCATGACACTTGTTACAACTTTACGTACCAGTATCAGTCAGGGATAGACAGTTGAGGATGGCAGATACAGTAAGTGTTTCATCTTTATACGCATTCATGTAATATGTGTTTCATGCACAATCATATGCTCGTCAAAGGGAGATAACTCCATTAAAATCTGTGTACCTCGGACTGCTGTCTAACTTGGACTTCTTAGATGGTCCAAAGCCGGTCCGAATTAGACAGGGTGCATTTATTTATTTCCAGAATTTCACCCACAGTGCAATACATACCTTGTGAAGAAACCTGGAAAAGAATAACGGAACAGCTGCAATCTCATGTGTTCCCTTACTCGTTTCCATGAGTAAATATGCACTGACTCCAAGTGCAGGAATGCCAAGCATATTGGTGTATTGGCTTTGAAACATTGGTAGAGCTGTGAATAAACTGAACATCTTGAGTGCCGGTTCAAGGCACAGGGGGTCACAGGAGGCCCAGTTGTCAAAAATGCAATAATTTGATGTAAAGAGTTGTCTTCCCTGGGCACGCCAGAAACTAAGGATTGTTTGTTGAAATTCTGTTTACCACGGTTATATTTCAAGGTTTGTCAGACCCATATAATTTCACCAAAGCATCTAAGACTTACTCTTCTTGAGATTTTCTTGAAACATTAAGCTCACACACCATGATGTAACAGGAATACTGTTCAAAGAAACACCGAGCCTCGCTCACTCATTCCCACCGACCTGAAATCAACACTTTTCATCTTGGTGCTTTTGATTCAATAATATTCTTTTGAACATTTCTTTTCCCCTGTCATGTGTGAGCAACCAGTACTCCGATTAAACGGGAAAATATTCCTAAATTTTAAGGGTTTAATTCAAAGATATTTTTTCACATTTTTGTGCAGAGAGTACGAATAGCAGCTCTGCAATGCCTCAACTGCCTAACAGTGCTACCTACTCATGTGACCTTGACCCTCAAGTCAAAGGTCACAAAGTCACTGCAGAGTACATTGGATGACAAGAAGAGACTTGTTAGACGACAAGCTGTCGTCACACGAGGAAATTGGTAGGCTGTTTATCTACATATATTTTTACTTATTCAATCATGATTCAGGTAATATTTAAGTCATATACTGGGTAGTCATGTTGACTGGATTATTGTGCCCAGTTGTGTAAACTGATGCTTACGATGTTGATCACTGGATATCTGGTCGAGGCTCAATTGTTTACAGACAGCCATCATATAACTGGAATATAGTTGAGTGTGGTATTGAACAACAAGAAAACAAATAAGATGCATTTATAAAGGGAAATTACTCTTGCCTCTTTCTTGTACAGGTTTCTGATTGGAGAACCAGGCAAATGACCCACCAATCAAACCAGTAGAGTGTATCAAGAATCACCTGAGCTTATCCAAAATTGGACAGAAGCACATTGATACCTGTGGAATGGTGTATGTGCATGTGTACATTAATACAAGCTTGCAAGCAGCTCAGGATGTTATATGAATGAACAATTATCTTTACATCCATGTGGAGTCTGGTTGTATCTGTGTTTGTTGTCATTATCAGCAGATGAGACTTGAAGAAAACATTGCTGCAGATCCTGCCAGACCCCAAAATTGAAAAAGAATTCATACTGTTTTCCTAAAGTGAACTTACATGTTTGTCACAAGTGAATTGTGTATGCTGTAGATTATACTGCAAAGTATAAATGTCTTACTTCTGTGAATAACACAAGACTGTTATGTAGCACTACTGGTCAAAAGATGTTTTAGGGTTTTTTTACTGAACGTGTTGAGAGTTATTCCCCTTGGAAGCGCGATGCTGGTGGTCTAGGATACCAGTGTACTGATTTGATGCCTGAAGAAATGAGGCATTCCAGAAACAAAGATGTTGTTTTATTCCTTCTTTTTCACCTACACAGTTTTCACTGACTATCTTATTATGGATGACTATCTTATAAATATTTAAGTCTCTAAGTCAGTTTTCACTGACTATCTTATTTCATTCAGTCATTTATGCAGATACAGCACTTCTCAAAGTACTGAGATCAAAAGGACATCTCCAAAGAAGGCTGCATCAGGTGAACCCATCTGACTGCCTATAGTAAATGAGTGAGTGAGTGAGTTTAGTTTTACGCCGCACTCAGCAATATTCCAGCTACATGGCGGCGGTCTGTAAATAATCGAGTCTGGACCAGACAATCCAGTGATCAACAGCATGAGCATCGATCTGCGCAATTGGGCTATAGTAAATGAGTGAGTGAGTGTGGTTTTACGCCAATGTCAGCAAATTTCCAGCAACATCACGGCATGGACACCAGAAATGGGCTTCACTCATTGTACTCATCAAACCTGGCTCTTCAGCATGACAAGTGAACGCTTTAACCACTAGGCTGCGCCACCGCCACCATAGTAAATGTAGGATGTGTGGACACTTAAGTAACTTGAGGTCAGATTTGTGGGCACTATTTCTTTACCACCTTGATTTGTAAAATTTGAGTTGCAAAAGATCCAGATATGACTACAATAGTTTATATCCCCATAGAGTACGGACACCCATCCTATATCTGTTATACTATATCTGTTTTTGAATACTCATTGTGATCGGATGGTTATGGTGCATTTGTGGAAACAGTAATGGTACAGATTCCTAGGCATGTTGTGATACAACTTCCAAAGTGATGTGTGATGTCTGAAATGCTAGCCTAGCACTTAGAAAGTTGGGGACGCATGGTGTAAACATTTCATCAAGGCATAATATTGATATGTTGTCGTGGAAATATGTCACTCTCATTATATATATGAATATATTACTTATTATCATTTTGTAAATAAATCATTTAAAGTCTGTCTTCTTCTTTTGTGTACATATCTTGAGATATTTTGATGTATATGTGTGTTACATATACATATATATCCTCATTGATTCAGAACAATAGAGTGTTCGTTAGTATACTTCGAGGTATCCATTTATTGCTGGTCAGAGACACAGTGTCATTAGAACACATTTGCCATCAGTAATATCACTGAGCATGGCACCTTATGAGTCGAAATACACCAAAACAAGGAAAAGTCAAAACAGCTGCAAGAAGTCTCCACCTTGACTGGCCAAATTCACAAGCTGACTTCATGAAACATGGTGCAGTTATAAATATTTAAGTCTCTAACTTGGTCTAACTTCTGTCTTTGGAGATATGTGTTTTTCATATATGCACCTTGTGTTGTACAAAGCACAGTCTGTCAAACAGACCCTGAAGTAAATATATCCAAGAAACCCCACGCAAGTCTAGTCAAGAAAGTCTCAGGGCTCCTTTTTATTATATTTTGTTTTGTTTTTCACTTTGAGCCTGTTTTCTGTAAAATATGTTCATTTCAGACTAGTTGTTAGTCCATACAAAGCATTAACTGTGAGACCACGAACTTGTTGATTTACCCTCCTACAAAATACATTTATAAACCTCTAGGTGCTTCAAGCATGGTGCGGTGTTCTTTGTAACACAACAAACATGGGAACGTGTATCATCTGTATTTATAGTTTAGGGAATGCCACTATGGATACAGTAGCTGGGAATGGGTGTCAATCACTTTTCTTGTGCACATAACCTAATTTATCTCACATGGCACGTTTGTTCGGTGAAGATCCGTGTTAGAATAGGTCTTCAGTAAGCCATGTTTGTCGTAAGAGGCAAATATCGGGAACGGATAGTCAGATTCGCTAACTTCAGTGACACATGTCATCGTATCCCAATTGCGTAGATCTATGCTCATGCTGTTGATCACTGGATTGTCTGGTCCAGACACGATTATTTACAGCCCGCTGCCATATAGCTGGACTATGGCTGAGTGTGGCTTTTAAACAACAAACTAAAATCCACCTGGATAAGCGTTAGGTATGACCGCTCTTGTTGAGAGAGTGAGTGAATGCTATTTATGCCCGGCAAATCCAAGCCTCAGTGGGTCAGATCGCGCTCTTTGCGTGTCGGGAATCAGGTAGGATTCAACCCCCAAAAGTACTAGAATCTGCACCATACCATGTTAGAATACCAAATTAAGTATTTAAATAATTGGTTGTGGACCAAATTCACCAGTGAGTGAAAGCCCCAACGAAATCCACTATTCCGCTTTTACAATATACTGGCTGCTGTCGTCTTGACCACAGTCATGGGATAAAGTATTCGTCAGTCGGCAAAATTCTCAAAGACTTGCATGTTATTTTAGTGTAGCTGTAATAATTTTCATCAATTCAGTTTTCGTTATTTGGTTGTCACATTTTTCAGGTTGATAGGAAATCATTTTGGTCACATATACATAATTTCCATGTAACGTTCCGCAAAGTATTTTCCGCATTGTAGTTACATGAGCAACATATATACAACATTGTGTATTCTTTCCCCATAGACCGCCATGTTAAAAATTGTCATAACCATGACACGCATCAATCAACGTGTGGTCATTCTTGAAATACTGAATGGAAAATAAAACGGAAATTATGTCTTTGGAGCTGAGATGATTCATGATACATGTGCAAAATATGAACAAAATCAAACGACAAATAAGTTCAAGATAATTTCTTTAGCTGCACCAAATTAAACATGTAAGTCTATGGAAATTATGCACAGTGACGAAAACTTATGTCCAATGACTACATCAAACACTTGTGTTTTACGTCACCACCCCAACTACCAACAGAGGGCACACACCCACACCCCGGATTCTCCACCATCAAACCTACATCAAACACTTGGTGTTTTACGTCACCACCCCAACTACCAACAGAGGGCACACACCCACACCCCGGATTCTCCACCATCTAACCTACATCAAACACTTGGTGTTTTACGTCACCACCCCAACTACCAACATAGGGCACACACCCCGGATTCATCACCCATCAAACACTTCCTGGATTCTACCAAACACATCAAACACTGTTTTACGTCACCACCCCAACTACCAACAGAGGGCACACACCCACACCCCGGATTCTCCACCATCAAACCTACATCAAACACTTGGTGTTTTACGTCACCACCCCAACTACCAACAGAGGGCACACACCCACACCCCGGATTCTCCACCATCTGTCTAAGCGCATGCCTATTCGCTCTTGGTTTGCACTGCAAAACTATGACATTCAGTTTTCTAATTTTAAACGAATGTATTCTAGTGAGGAAAAACTTGCAACTGTTGATATATCACTCTGTATGTCTCCAAGGGGTCACTCGACTGTAATCAACGACTGGGTGGGTTTAGCCTACACTTCTGACAATGTGTTTTCCTGGTCCATGCCCTATTGCTTTCTTCGTACAAACGATCCTTGCGTTCATAACCAATTCATGTGTGTTTTTGGTTGTTGTTTTAAGAAAGCCTTCCTTCCCCTGTGTAGACAACTGAACATCTTCAATGTGTTCACTTATAAGGCATAAATGAACATAATTCTGGACACCTAATCAAACGGATAAACATGCAGAAAAAGCTCTGTAATGCAAGTCAAACATCTGAGTTGGAAGCAGACAGAATGGCGCCGGTTCAGTTGGCGAACCTCTAAAGCTCCAAACACTGTGAACACGTTTTAACTCCAATTTTGTGTCCTTTACACCATTTTCATTTTTCAAATTGAAGTTTGGAAAAGCATCTGTGGGTACATGTGCTATAAAGTGAAAAGACTGAAACGGACATAAAAAGATCGAATTAGTTCTACCATAGTTCTGTCAGTTCAAAAGGTAATTGAAATTAATATGTACAAAATCTTTTAGTTTATTTATATTTCTTACGTTATATACTGAAAGGCAAAGGAAACGTCGTAATATTAGAAATGACATTTGAGTATCAATGGAGTATTTGAACCTATTTTTTTAAATATACACCAGAAGTCAAGTTTGAGGAAACATGAATCGTGGTCGTATAGCCTGCATTGCCCAATAAAGTATTGTTTGAGATTGAAGTTAGAAATGTTTTTGTTTTTTTGGAGAGGGAAAAGTTCCCACAAACACAACATTGAAATCGAGATGCACGTGCATCATAAATGCATTCAGGCATAAATTGCCGGCTTGAATGGCAATCGTTCACTTGTTTTCTGAACACAGCAGCTATGACTAGGTTAACGAGAGATCAACCACAACAAGCTATTGGACGTCTGCACGCTGGTCAACATGCTCGAGTCATTGCTAATGACTTCAGTTGCAACGTACGAACGATAGAACGTCTTAGAGTGCGATACAACGCCACCAGCAGCACTGATGTCCGTCCACGTAGTGGTCAACCCCGTGTAACAACACGTCGCCAGGATCGTCATATCGTCCATCAACACGTGCAAGACCAATTCGCAAGGGCCAGAGAAACAGCTTGGGTGACCATAGGAAACCACCAGCGACCAGTCAGTGACCTACCATTCGGCGACGTCTCCAAGCCAGGAACCTGTTTTGTCGATGTCCTGCCAGGAGACCCATATTCACTCAACGTCACCGCCGGGAACGTATCCAAGTGGACACAACAGCGGCAAAACTGTCGTGGGGGACAATGGAGAGGGGTTATCTTCTCTGATGAAAGTCGCTACTGCATTTCAGTGGCGTATTATTTAATAAATATAGGTTCAAATGTTCCATTGATACTTAAATGTCATTTCCAATATTACGACATTTCTTTTGCCTTTCAGTATACATTCTAACATGAGACAAAGAATGCATTTAACTCATGGAAATAATTCCTACATCAATATCAATAAGGAGAGAATTCAATCATATTTTCAGTGAAGTAAAATTCTGTGACCTCTGCCAATGGAGCCAAAACATAGCAAAAGTTCAAAACATTTAAAAGTACATTTAAATGTTTTGAACTTTTGCTATGTTTTGGCTCCACACAAAACGTGAGCAACTATGCCTGTAGTTGTTCAGGTCATCTCTGACAGTCACCACCTCCGCTGTATTTCCGTTTCAGTCTTTGAAAACAATAGAAAGTAAGTGCAAATTACTTTCGGTACTACAGTACAACCAGAAATTATTGAGAATTTAAAGATTGTAATTTTTTATATTTTTTTCACTCATTACTCACGTATTAAATGTGAATATTAGCAGAACATAACTCCAGATTCAAAGACAAGTGAACAGTTAGTATTTTGTCAAGTCACCATGGGCAGCAATGCAGGCTTCAATGCGGCAGGGCATACTACTGATCAAAGAAGTTAGAAAGTCATGGTCCATGCTGTCCCAATATCGGACCACTTCT